TCTTCACAATTTGTTGTTCGAAGCCCAACCAATCCATCAACATCACAAATCGGTGCATCAGTCGAATTCTTATGACATTAGACTTACAAACAGAAATCGTGGTAGGAAATGCAAAGCCGCAGGTCCGCTAAGGTCATAAAACCGCCCTGAGGCAACTCATCTATTTCAACAGCGATTTGAATCACGATGACCCAGAAGATGAAACCTAAATTTGGAGCTGAATCCATATCGTAGAAGGAAATACACCCTCGGAGGCAAGAACTATGGACGAATAGTGTTGGAATTTGTACTGGCCACCGGGTTCCTCTATAATGGGCTTGCTTCGTCCCAAAAAGGAAAGTCGTATCAAGTTAACTTCACTTCCCATTGCACCTAACGCCTAAAAATTACAGACTAGTCGATTTGAGTGACTTGCAATCTACCCCGCCACAAAAGAGACGCCTCTTCTTTACTACTAGAACGATAAATGAAGTCAGTATTCTTGTCCATGTGGTATGGTTTATAACGCATCAAGTCCTCTAGAAATTGCAAGAATCTGCAAGCCCGACCCTAAGACTTTCCACATAATCGCAGTCAAGTGCTGCAAAGCAAATTCAGTGAACTTTAGAGCCTCGTGCTAAGACCGCCTATGAAAGTGACCTTTACAGCCCGAAGTAAACAATGAATTAGTTCCAATCTGGAAGCGCAACTTCAAGTCCAATTTTGTCTAAATACTATGAAGCCTCCGCACTAGCCCCCATTAATAAAATTCATTCCTTGGATTTTTTTATGATACACGAAATTAGGAATTCGTGGGTAAAAGGTGGTGACGCCCAAGTTCGCATCGAAACCACGATAGGTACAAATGTGAACGTGCGAGTGCTTCCTACGAGAATGATTTCCCCAAACTGGAACACCCACACTTGAATGTGCGCTGCTTCCTTCCTCTTGGGAGGAACAAAGCTATAGCGCCGTTGTTGGTTAGTTAAAGCTCTTGCATGACGGTGACTGTGAGACGAGAGTCTATTTGAAGCAAGGCATTGGTCAAGCAAATACGAACAATACATCCATGCTAACTACTCAAATTTCCTAGGTTTATTCCACAACCCTGGTACTACGGATCTCGCTTGCAAGTCTTCATTTATTCGCCGATCCATCCGAAAATAGAAGCACCACAAACTTTGGTCCAATTTCGAAAACGAATGCCCCTTTTCTGTTGTGAGATCTTTGGAAATAACTCGCCACATTATTCGGAAAAAGCCAGGAATCACAGTAATTATTTTTGTAGGCTTGCCAGTAGATGGCTCTCGCATTAGCCCCATCAAAATTCCAGTAGTGGACGTTCAATCCCGAGGACTGCACATTCCGAAGTACCCATGTCTGTGTCATGTTAGCTTGTATGAAGAATGTAAACTTGCACAATTCTCGGTCCCATTTCCCAATGTACACTGCTACATGCGGCCCAGCATGATAATGAGTCAAGTGAAGGACGGCAACACGGATTTAACCGATCTACTCTTCTTTATTGACACTGCAGAAGTTGATTAAGTAGCAACATTTAATCGTTTGGAGAGCACTTCCGCTTTTAGAATAATCTCTAATCCAGATCGAAGGATCGTTTCCGGTATTTTGAAAAGATAATCGGATAGCAATTAAGAATAACGAGATCGGGTTTGGTTTTCTTCGATACTGAACGCGATCATTTTGTAAAAACGGGACGTGGTGAAAGAAGTTGATGAGATAGTACTGGCATGAAGTAAAAAATGTAAACCATCTTCCGAAGTACAATCTCATGAGTGTAAATACATAGCGTGAAATCCGAAGCCTAAGTCATTCACTGTGGAAACCGTTCTCCCGCCCCAATCCAAAGCAAGAGGACTGGGCAGATTGAAACAATGACAACCTTCATCCACTTAGGCGAGCAGCCCTCGACTACCTCGATACCCTATTTACTTGCTGAAGGGGAATAGAGTGAACCTTCCCATTTTTTTCCCAGAAGAAATGCACACAACAATAGGCAGACCGAAATACAGCACAGCAGATTTTCTCTCAATGCGGCGTCAAAGCCTCATTTGGTAACAAATTTGTTATTGCTACTGCTGATGACGATAACGAGGTACAGTTTGCGAACTGGGGACCCTCTTTAGGGCAATTAATGACTTTATCGACCGCCGAGTGACACTTGCTTTAACAAGCAGGCCGGATCGGCAATGTCAACCAGGGGTGAGAAAGTGGAAACACGTGAGGTCAACCAAGTCCATCTAAGGCAATGGTTTTGAGGACAAACGACATAGATTGTAAAGATGACGTCCTTATAGGCTGCTGAATATATGCACTGCGACATAGAGCGAAAAAAGAATAAATAAATGACATTCAGGCAAGCAATCCCTTCAATCGCGCGGTTAAAAGAAAACATCTGTGTTACATGAGCAATAAAGTTGCACCGAAGAAAAGGTGTGCAACGAAAGGAAGATTAGATTTCCAATCTTTCATACCTGCAGATGTTGGATCTCAAGATTACCCTCACCGTATATAGCACATACATCACAACAGAAGAGTAGAACTTACAAAGAGACCGAATAATCTGGCAAGAGAAAAGCGTCCGATTCCTTTAGCATTAATGATTAATAAGCATGCAATCCTCCGATTCTTTTTTACTACTTCAGGAGTCACGGGTACGGAAAGCGGATAGCATATTGGAAGCTGCTAGTTTAAAAGCCGCAGTTAAAAATAGCCACTTCGGTATGAAGAGGTGAAAGTGTTTTCGAGGCAGCATTCACTTAAATTTACTAATGTCAGAACAGAAGTAAAGGGATTATGATATGAAGATTGGGCCACTGAATGAAGCACTACGTGGGACCTAATGGTCGTTGGCAGAGGTCCGATATGTGATGCCAACAGAGCGACTGATATATCATCGCCATTTAAGGAATGAAATGTTCATATGCTGCAACCTAACTGACTATTGAAAGTCCATTAAAAATTGTCAAAGACACCTATCATTTGACAAAACCATTAATTGTTACAAACATTGCTAATAATGAACAAGAAGCGTACATATTACGGCACTAAAATTTGCATCACAAGAGTTCCGCCACGCTATTCGGTGTCCACAATGGCCGAGCTTCGCAAAAAAAACTACTTCTGTGTAAATCAAATTGAAAATAGCTGCTCAGCTCATAATTATTTCGACAGAAAACAGATCGCCACATCAGCTCAAACACGTGTACACAAATACGCTCATAAAACCATCGTTTTAGTGTGATTAATAAATCCTCGCCGACCACCTTGACGGAGAGAGAGAAGGGAGGGAGAAACGAAACACAAACCAACCACATTGTTTTCGAGGCGGTCACCAGATTTACACATCAAAACCTACCATGAAACTACTAAAAAAAATCTTCATGCTTTAAGTTAGTTTGCTTCAATGGTTTCTATGGCAAAATTTGGTGCACATTCTGTACTACTACACAACCACACTTTAAAGGGACTTCCATAACCAGGGCCCTTCACCATCACTCTAATCCCAAAAATGGTATTAAAATCATTTCGTCCGTATTATGAGCAGTACTAGTCTCAATTTGCCCTGAGGCCCACAGAGTATATAATTTCACAATTGACTAACTGATTTGAACACACTCGATAGTTGGAAAGCATTTCAGCGAAAAAGCGGAAGACAAGTGATTCCTTCACCCCTACCACCTGTACGAACATGTCACAAACCTACCGCTTCACCCATTTTGGCCTAGTCAAAATTGCCAACTTCATAGTTCCTTTGCGGACAGCTACGGCAAAACTCACCTTCACTCCTGACAAATCGAAAGCTAGCTGCACACCTCAAGGAACGCCTTAAAGTAAAGACGAAATCGCATAATCACAAAACGTTGTTCTTGTTGATAATGCAAACAATATCAGTTAACTCTGCCGGGATAGACGGTCGCAGAAATCGTAAAGAGGAGGAAGATGAGAGAATAAAAATACTTGCAACACACAACGGGCGTCAGAATTGTCCGAGAAGTGGTTTTCACTACAAAAGAAGGGAAATAGAAGCGAAAAACAAATGGCAATGGGTCAGTTGCTTCTACCTCAATCTTGCGACGCTTTTAAACACGGTACTTGCAAATAGTTCAGTAAGAATTTTGCGAGATTCTTTAACAACTCGGACAATGGAACAACTTTAGACTTTAAAGAGCATCTACTCCGATTCGACAAGGAATAAAACGTCAACAATGTATCACCAATGCTCCCCCTTATTAGTCGAATCCACCCTGAACATCGACGGAAATGAATGGGAAGCATAGAATTCAGTCGACATTTGCATACACAGTAGAAGGGCAAAAACATGGAATCAAGAAAACCAGGAGTGTCCAACAAAACCATTAAAAAATGGACATCCAAAAGTGAGGTTCATTTCATCATGTACTCCAACTCATTCTAGAAAGATATAGCCGAAAATCATAAAGGCAGTGCACTTAATCCAAATCCTTCGAAATACCGGACTTGACTATAATAACATCGGGTAGGGAGCTCACTTTCAATGCAGCTGACGATGCTGGTGCTGCTGCTGTTGCTGCTCCTGTTGTTCCATTACTTGTCGTTTTGGGTGAGTGCAGGAGTTCATGTGTTCTGGCCAGTGTAATTGTTGGCACGTCGTATTACAGTACACCGTATTCCAACAGCAGTAAAAGAAGGCCTCATTTCCACAGTATGTACACTGCAGAAACCAACAGAGAGAAGTAGCAAAAATCGCTCCATAATGAGGAGTTATTGCACAAAAGTGGTGAGGTATAGGAAATTAAGTGGAGAATGGATTCCGAGACCCGAAACCAAAGATCAAATTCACTGAAAACATTGAATTCGAATTAAGGGTGGAAAAATCTTTTGAGAAACGGGCACCCAAATAAATTAATTCATCAACAGAGGACATCCCTTAAACTTGAAATTTCATCCATTTTCAACTGTTTGGAAGAAGTATGGTTAGCTGAAATCCCTTTATCATGAGTTGCTCCAAGAAGTAAACATTAGTCGCCAGAAAATTTGACACAAAGAATCCAATAGCAGCATACACCAAGAGCAAGGAAGTGAAGAAAATGTGTGCTAACCCACTGCTTCCTTTTCACAACATCAATCAGCCCTGAAGCCTCTTTCTCGCAGATTTTAACTACCCCCTCCACCGCAGATAGCAACTCTGCTTCCCACACCGCACGCAGCTCGGTGAGGCGGTCACGTTGACTGCTCGCCATCTCGTGGCGCGTATAGTCCAACAGCAGCCGAAGGCGCTCCAACTCCTGACTTTGTCGTACCACCTCCGTCCGCAACAGTGCCATTTTCATTTTGTTTTCATCGAGGGAGCGCATAGAAACAACAACATTTGGAGCCGTTTGTGTCTCTTGATCTTCTGTTATCAAAATAAAAAGAATCAGTACATGCACTACGGTTTATTAAAAATGGCAGTTAAAATTCGAAGGCGAAAATGCTCATATATAAACGCATGCTTAATTGAAAGCAACATAATGGAAATAAAAAACAGATAATACGAACGAGTAGTAGTACGATTCGAATCCAGGATGGGCGCCTCTGATTCAGAGACAGCAGCAGAAACTGAAGAAACGCCAATTGTGGTGGCAGCAGTTGAAACACACCACGTTTCATTGACGGAATCTTCAAGATTCCGGAAAACATCCTCTACAAGAGATTGAAATCGCCCGGAAAACAAGTCTCGAGCTTCCTGGAAGCGAGCAATCAGATCCGCCTTGAGATCACCTGGAGGTACATTATCCGATTGGCGTAGGGGTAGAGTCGACGACGAATCTCTTAATGGTGAAAAAACCACGAAAATTACAAATGTAGCATCACTATCATATTTTCTTAAACATAAGAGAACTCAAAAATAACAGACTTGTGTTGTAATAATGAGACAAAGCCGTGGAACCAGAAAATCATTTAGTTACTTTTCAAACGAACTGATTTAGCTCACGAACACTTACTTTGTGGAAGTTGTTTCCGCATTGGGGACGTCCACATTGCCATACATGGAATTCTCAACAAGCACGTCGCCACTGCAAGAATGAAATGGAGAGAGATAAAAATAGGCGAATTTCGATGGAATTACTCAGCATGCAATGCAAAAAAATGGAAGATTAAGTCAAATCACCATCAGTAAAAAGACAATTCAAACTAAAACGAATCAATTTCAATTTTATTCTTTCCAAATCATGGAAAACAAAATTAGCAACTGTACCTTTATAGCTCTAAACAAAAATCGGATCAAGAGGGACAGGAGAGTAAAAATTAGCGAAAGATTCCCTGGACCACCTCTACTCTTCAAGTCAGCAAATGATGATGTAGGTGAGTACGCATGCTCACGTGCTGAACAGAACTAAAGCCTGAAGACATGACTAGAAGAGATCTAAGAGAACATATTTAGCGGCCGTTTGAGAAGGAAAAATATTCAGGCAATGCGAGTGGAACTATCTCCACTTCAAACTAAGAACAAACCTGACCCAAGACATTTTCTACTTGCACCAAAAAGCCACAGACATGCGAAAACTTCAGCACTCTTAACGGTTGGGCTGCCAGTTTAAACTGTAACGCCTCTACTTTCCTACCCGAACTGGAGATCACAAATGCAGTGTAATAGATAAGTGGTAGCAACAAACCACCCGTATTGCAAACAAGTTAATTGCATCTCAAACAAGGAAAAGGACGTCGGACATTCCTGCTATATATATGAACACACTTCTGCTTTAGAGCAACGGTTGACCTGGTCCGTTCAACATTGTTATTGTTGAATTCGCGAGTAAGATCGGGAATTGCATTAGTTGACTTCTCTCAGATACCCTCATATCAAACTTGCCAAAAGTAGCATTTACAGCACCAAGAAAATGTAAAAAACAGCCTCTAACGATTAGATTATGCTAAGTTCAACACAATGTCATAGCAAACTGCCTTGAGACCAGTGTAAAAGGTTGCCAGCCCTCCCGTCCTCTGTTTTGGTCTCCTGACTTGTTTCCACTATGCCCAAGGCGTCGCTAAAGCAGCCAACGCACGCCTAAACGCCCGTTGTTAGGGTCACTACTTCCATCAGCCAGTATGCGCATGTGGCCGTCTCAAGAGTGAGTCACCTTCTGGCAACTGTAGTGATTCACAAGCTACACAATTAGCTTCGATCTTTTCTCCTCTGAACATCTGCAGTAAAGGCCTAATTTTCCTTGAGTATCCCATACGGATATGATGGATGTCCACAGCTTTTCTTCGTCCGACTTCAGCATTACAAATTAAAGTTGGTTTCCGCATCTCTACTTCAGATTGGCCAATTTCAAGTGAATTAGGGTGCAAAAGAGGATAGGCAGCTCCAATCACGGGCGTAAGACATCGTGAAAACCATTAAAAACCTTGATATAAAAATATTGGTTTTCACACATCTGAGTAGTTCGAGAGTGTTGTGGACTATAGGAAATGCAAGTGCGGTCCTGACAGCGTAAAGAGGGCATGACTAGTCGTGACCTCCATATTAGCTATGACTAACATCTGCAGTAATAAAAGTACAATGTCTAGTTGTATTTACGTAAGAAATCAGTTGATCAAACTCTGTTACATTGGCAACGATCTCGAAATTGGGCATTTCAATGTGCGAAAATCAAAGTAACCAGTGCACTTAAAGTTAGTAGCTTACGCTAACGAAAGCGGCCGAAACGGAGCCTATTCAAAGACATCAAAAAGCTATCTTGGCTTCATTAGAGGGTGGAGACCACCTATGTCCTGTCCGGACAGCTTCGCCTCTTGGACATGCCAGAATTGACATCTCCCGCCATCAAGGGAATCTCGACATGCTAAACACGCCTAGTGATTAAATAAGTCGACGGCAGGTTGATTTGTACCCTTTGAATATACAAGGAAAGATGTTGTGACCAGATACCAAAAGATTAGCACAATTACATCACCCGTCTTCAGAGGGGAAAACGTACATGTGCTCAGGGTCCCGCATTTTGTCTTCCAACTCCACCTGAGGGGCACTAAAATGAGGCTCATGAAGCGGTTCCTCTCTGACTTCATGGGAGCTTCTGAATGACGACAACAGGTTTGTAGAAAGACGGGCTAGTAGAGGCTCTGAAAAGTCCTCCGAGGTAAGGGATCGGCTAGTTCCAACGAGGGGAAATGCTGTAGAAGACGACGATGGCAATTGCGGCGGTGCCAACGCCAGCCTTGCTTGTAAAGATGGTGGTGGAGGAGGTGGAGGAAGTGGTGGAGATGGAGCAGGAGGAGTTGCCGAAGGCGCTGAGGTGGCGAGGGAGGGCGAAGAGGGGAGGCAGCTCTCCGAAGTCTGAACAAAATCCACCTCGTCACCGGTGGGTGCCGGCGAGCCACCTGCCCCAGACTCAGAGGAAGCTGGAGAAGGAAGACTATCTCCTGCAAGAACCCATTGGTTGAAGGACCTGCCATTAATGCCACCACAAAAAACAAGGTAAGTTAAATGAATCGCATGTCTGTTGCAATAAGACGCCTTATACCTAGCAAACCGAGGCTCCATGTACCTAGTCAAAAAAGAATGATGTGCAGCAGAGAAGCATCATGTCAACACGTGTGCATGACATGAAGGTAGATTTAAGTGAAAACTGGACAACCAGTAGCTAAACGAAACATTAGCCATGTGCTTATTGGCTAGTATCGTTCACAATCGCATCAATGTCTCGGAAGGGATGAAGAAACTAAAAATGAGTAGATAAAGCAACTAAGAGCAGCGAATTAATAACAGCAAAAGAGGAATCGCCTCTTTTTAATGCCCTATTTATCAATTTATGCCCACTAAGTCCAAGTATTGAGGAATAAAAGTGTTGGTTCTTCATTGCTATCAGTCCCTCTCAATTAGTTCGGATTGAATGATATCAATAATAAATGCACATCGGACCACAAGGACCTTGGCAGTTTACAATGATTCAGTCCTCACATTTTGGCATGGCAAATTGACATCGATGGAAGCAGCAATGCCATTCTTTTGTATGTTACATGGGTGACATGTTGGTAGATCTAATACTAAAGGAGAAAAACGATTTCAATTTCAATGACTAAACATCGTGTCACATAGGTGTTGAAGGCATCTACTGTCTATATGGATACCCACCCTGAATCAAGCCGATATCGCAGTATCCGTGCCGAACGCAGTTTAGCTTGACAAAACTTTATAATTACATTGAGAGAGGACGCCAAAAGACAATGAAAAGTCAAAATGCTTATTAATGTTAACGCACAATGTTAGCAATGAAAGAGATGACTGAATAGGGAATCCAAAACAGTAGAGCTGCTCCATATAAAGCATTTGAGCCCTTTCAAAAAAATGCATTTAACTACAAAACTCGCTCACTACATCCCATTGACCAACTGGGGGGCTTTGCAAATAAAATAAGCGAGGAATTTCGAATGTCGAGGGCGATAACCCACCTCACCATTCTCATCGCATGTTTAACAGCATCAGTCATGACTCGGCTCCCGAACTGACAGCATGAAGATATGTATGTACCCACTGCCTCACTAGCCCATCTTCATCTGCCTTGCAACTTGACTGAAATCAGAGCACTACCAAAAGGCATCCCAGGTCCAATCATTCACTGACGCCAAGATAAAAGTTAGCAGAGAAACGCTTTACATACCCATAATGCTGTTTGATAATCTGTTGGGAGAACGGTAAGACACGGGAGGCAGGAGCAGCAGGGAATCGAAATCTAGGAAAAGCTTGGAGGAGTAGGGAGAGATGACGCCGCAGTTCCTCACAGGCCCGGTTGTGGGTCTCCATGTCCTTGGATTCGCCGGAATCCGACAGTCGCCTGAGCCCTCCTTCCGCCGCCTTCTCGTTGCAGGCGATAGTGTCGGAGGTGGTGTTAGCATTCACAGAGACGCTGAGGCAGGTCTGCAAAGTGACGTAGTTCGCTGGAGTCTTGCGAGTGGAATAGGTGCCGAAAAAGGAAACCAGTAGGAGTTTGTTCGGTAGTTCCGCCATCATCTTCCCCGGCCACCTTCTTCCCTCCTCGAAACGAACCCACACAACTGGGTGAATCACAGTCTGTAAATGAAGTTGACAGCATTCCTTGAATGGCTGGGTATGTCAGACTCCGTGTGATCTCAATTTCAATTTAATATCAATCACAAATAGTCCGAAATTGATTAACCTTTGAGCTGCACTTCATACGAGAAGAACAAGGTTCGTACCATGAGTTTGCGAGCAAAAGTAAGGAGCTTACACAAGGTTTTACGAACCACAGTCCTTCAGCAAGGTCAGCATTAAGGTGCTCGGCGGGCTTTCGCATCTCAGGACGCCGATAAATGCGCGGCTCACACTTGGAGATGGCAGGAAAGACAAAAGTAGTCGAAGGGAGGACAGGAAGGGCGGTAATACGATTGACGTAGCAAGTGGGGCAGGCTCGCAAGAGTTCGATCTCACAAAGACACATTTGCTCCAGGGAACGTGCCTTCACCAAGAGTTGAGAATCTGCAAACATGAGGAGAGTTGTTCAAATAATGCTAACTGCATGCACCTCAAGCCGAAAAGTTTCCAATATTCACAACTGGCTTGATTACCAGGATATGCACGTGAGATAATGATAGGAAAAAACGATACGACTTACTTGGCTTTTCCTCAGATACGAAGCAATTATGAATGATCCAGAGGAAATCGGCCAGAAATGCATTTGTTGACTTGTACTGACCATCATTCACTCGCTAAATATGAAGAAAATAGTAGGTTTGGAAAAAAATACATGTAAGGCAAATATAACCACACCTGAAGGAGGGTGCGAAGATCCATCGGACATCTGACAGCACCCGGGACGCCGAAATTTTCACTAGAATCAACTGATTCTCGGAATGGTTCCGCCTAGAATTTAAAGAAGAATTCACTAAAATTGTAAAAGAATACGGTGACTTGTGGATAGGTAATTAGTCAGCCGATTCAGATGCAAACTACTCAGGTAGTGATTAAGAGAGACCTTCTTTGAGAATGACTACGGAACGGTCACGTACCCAACTTTGAATTGACATGAAATCAATCATAAAGGCCAGCGCCTTATTGAGTTGGTTCTCGTAGGTTGCGTTCGAAACCACGGGTCCCCATTTCGCCGCGTCCGATGTGCCCAGAGTAATTGAAGCCAGTTCACGACATAGGGCACACTGCCAGCTTTCATGCGACGGGATTACACCAGACTTCTCAGCCTCTGGGGCGTTCGAGCAAATGGAATGGTAGACACGAGGACAGGTACTACAGGATTTTAACTAAAATGACGAAAAATCCCGAGGATATTAGGAGCTAGCTGGTGAATTTAAAAGGGATTCAGGAATTACCTGTCCAGGGCGATGACAAATCCAACAAAAGTCGTCAACCGCCTCCTGAGAAGAACCTGAGGGACGCCTAGTCTTGATTTTTGGCACTAGACCCGAACTCATGGAACCAGTGGTGCGTCTGGGCAGCAGCCAATCCGTCTGTTCGGTCTGCGAGAGCAAGGACATTTGAATATTCTCCAAACTCTGCTCTCGACTAGTGCGACTCCGCTTCTTCCCCGATGACACGGCAGGCTGAACCCCTCCTGCATCCTCAGCGAGGGATACACGTCTCCTACTCCTAACTGGGGTGGATGCACGAGCAACAGCTTGTTCATTTGGCCTAGATGAGCTCCGACCGCTTCTTCCACTTAATGACTCTCTCAACGAGTTGCAATCGGGATCTAAGAATATAAGTTAGTGGCACCGTTGGTAATACTTAAGAGTCACTGAACCAACCCTTGGATCAAGCATCGACCTACGATACAGGATGAATACTACCATAAAATGTATTTGATTGAGCCTCATCGAAACTAATTTATGTCAAAAAAATGGTCTCTGTTATTTCACTATGAATCAATGATAAAATTTCACATGGAAATGCGATGTTGTGTGTGGAAATGTAATTTTTTACTAAACTTATCATCTATTCCCCCAAATGTATTTACCTGTTAAAAGAGAGTCCAGCGTTTCCGGTGTACTATTATCTTCCAGCCTTTCCTGAAGCGTTGAAATAAGGCCGAGAAGTTAGCGCATTTCAAAGAAGGGATGGGACAATAACAATCCGACAAGTAGTCAAAAAACTAAAGATAATGTGAGAAGCCCTGCTGTGGTTCCAGGAATAACAGGACAATTCGCTATCCCATTTATACAACAAATTGTGATATACTGGAAGAAATACATAAGCAGCAAAACAACCACAAGGCAATGGAAATCACTACTATCAAGGAACTCGCGAATCGACTTGGGATGTTCGCCAACATGTCTCAATGAAGGGAGCGACGAACGGTTCGCAACCTCGGACAGTCGTGCGAGATCCATGAAGCACGAAGCAACGATTGTCCCCATCTGTTATGATGACTTCTACACCTATTTTACCTCCAAAAGCACAATCATCCTGTGAATATTAATCTACTTGGGACTGAACTACGACTGCAGTTCAGAGATACCAGAGCAATCTTGGACCCTCACTGGTTCTATAGACAAAAATTTACCTCGATAACCGCCCTAAACCAATGTATTCCCACATGTTACTTTGTACTTTTACAAATAGCTGGCAACAAATTGGGGCTAGACTTAAAAATTTAATACTAATGTCATAGAACAAACTCCTTATCAGGGGCAAAAACTGGGAGATCACAAAATGATGCTCCAATTAGCTATCTACCGGTTATACTTGACTCAATGAAAAATCAGACGAACTATTCATAAACGTCCGAGCCGTTTTAAGCAACATCTGTTATAAAGCAACAAGTGATGAAACGCTTAAGCATACTTGAAAAGCAACAGAGGGCAACATACTCGAGAAATTCTCCTACGCTTCTTTCGAGTTGAGCTCTCGCCTTTTTCAGAGCATGCGTTTGATGACCGAGAAGGAGTCCGAGACTTGGCAGCACTTTTGCGACGTGGGGCCATTCCAAATTCTAGTTGTGAAATATGAATATTATTTTAGCTGAGCAACATGAATCAGAGCAAGTTGTCAGAAAACTCATAAAAACAAAAGATCACACCAATTCAAAAGACCATATTCTGATATGATGAATTTAGACAGACTGAGAATACACATTGAGGTGATTAGTGTGCTGTTTTTGACGACTCAAAAACAAGGCGTGAAAGCACAACCTTGTTTGCGGGAACCACTATTATTTGCCGCTTTGGTGGGAAGAGGCGGATTTTCTGACGACTGGTAACTGCCTGATTGAAAATTGCAATCGATTACAAGAGGCCCTTCTAAAAATGGCGAAAAAATTAATTCACTAACGACGCTAAACACATTAAATTGAACGCAAAACAGAAAGTTCCAGCGAATTACCGAAGAAAAAATCATCATCGAGGATCTGAATGTGCGAACTCAGCTTAACACTACCACGAGACCTCGAGGACGTGGTTCTAAAATGAAATGGTGATAATAAGACAGCTGATGGTCTTCCACATGATAGCGTTCCAAAAGGCGAATGAGTGACAATGTAATATGAGCATGACTTGATGAACATTCATACACACGAGACATTTGAAAAAGGGTTTGCTAATATGCATGGAGTAAAAGTGGTGTACTATTAAGAGGCTTGGAGAGGAATTTATGGCCATTGCTCCATAAAAGAACGGTCAGTACGTCGTCTCTCAGCGTACGGACGCGCGCCTACCCGTCCAGAAACGGCTTAACAAGGAGTAATGAATAGAATTGGAGATACATTACAGGTAAAGGATCACCAGATGGCTGTGTACAAGCATCACGTACTACGCAACGAAAGTGTGTGCTTGACTATTCTAAAGAAATAAAGTCCAGAAAGCACAGCTACTAAACTTTCAAATGCCAAAAGATGAACTAGGATGCCGATGAATCCCCAATACGACACTCACGTTTTAGAGTTTCTATTCATCAACGACAACCATCCAAAGAAGCTTTAGACGGTGCTAAGGTTAGCCCTACTACAATAAGCTTATAGGGTACTATAAAGTAAGACAGTACTATTACGATAGTGATAACACGAACACATGAAAAACCTGCTTAATGTGGGCTATCCCATCAAAGTAGGCCGCCGAAACAACATCAAATTTCCAATCAAAGCTTGATATCTCAAGGGAATGCTTTTACCAACCAATATTTTTTTGAGGACACGTGTTTACCCGTAAACATACCCACGGTGTAATTTAAAGGTCTTTGGAACAGAAATTTGTTAGTTTTCAGAAGGAGAGTAGAGCTACGTAAATAGATCTCGTAAACATTGCTTGCACTTGAAAGGATTGAGACTTTTAATGCACCTACCAATATATCGGCCATCGTTTAGCAGATGCAATAAGCATGATTGCTAGGAGTACTGATGTTTGATATTCATTTCAAGAAAATGTCTGAAACGCGACTTTCCCGAGCAGATATCTCAACAAGAGACAATAAGTAAATGCAAATCTCGCTACCTCGCTATTAACATGAGGTGGGCTCTCGTCACTGCCATGAAATTGAAAAAGAGCATCCAATTTGAGGCAAGGAAGACAAAAACAGGGCTTATTATGGAATAGTGCGAAAATCAGAGATATTTAAGCACTGATTTTTTGTTCGATTAACCATGTGACTAGCTGCCACCTTGGTGGCGATCTTACAAAAGGCCTGCTACCATGGTCAAGTAAGGTCTTACGTCTTCCCTTATAAGAGCACAAGTACTTGGCCATACCTAGTGCCTTCTTCTACTAAGCAGGAACTCTAAAGGTGTCACTGCAACACGTAGTAGCTGACTAAATTTCCCTTCGTGGGAGATAGACACAAAGTCACTAAAAATGCCGTGACAGGTGCTCAAAGTCACCCCCATAACTGTTATGAGTATATCTACATTCATATACGTTTCCCTCTTTATCGCCTACTTTTTTCTCTCACAGTTACCTTCTATATAAGCTATGGTAGAGGATTTGGACAGCAGAGTGGAGAAACTAATTGGATACTTTGTTTATATGACTTCTGATGTGTGGTGGGTCCTTTTATAGTCGTCTGGCTCTTAGTAGTGTAGGGTGACCGGGCCAAGCCGAAGCTAATGCCTTCTTCTCCCTCTAGAATACATGTATTCACCCAAATGAGTGCCTTCTTTGAACTGTTGAGAAGTCCCGAGGCATTACGATTGCAGTTAAATTTTTGGCACCACAAATTGCAACCCTAACCCAAGCTATGAAATTCAAACGTGAACCAGCGTAAGTGGGGGTGCCATATTTCCTTCCCATCTTACCACAAAAAATTTTACATTATATTGTTGTTTGGAATAATCATGCAATAATATAACCATTTTTCTTCCTCATAAGGGCCATTCCGCATCCGACCGTATCTTAGTACGGAGCTTTACTCTGCCTTAAAGGGACGAGCGAAAGCTCTATCACATTTCTAAGGGATTGACTGCTTCCCATTCAGATTTGTTTGAATTTAAAAGATATCACACGTATCTAAGACATAATTTGAAGCCAATTAAAGCAGTCTTGCCGGCTTGGTGTTCAAATGATTGTATTTCACCAAATTCTCCTCATATTGCCACGTTTGGCCAACACAATGGTATCTGCTTCAAAGTAGCCACCATATAACCTTTTTTTCAGTTTTTAGTGCAAACATTAATAAATTAAAGTGTTCTAGTTTAGCTAGCTACCGTTATACTAATTAAGGATGTTTTAATTTTTTCAAATTATGACTTTCCCCATTCCCGTGTATGCGGCTATTTGGTTGGCCTCGGAAAGTCCGGCTGACACTTGGTTTCTTTGACGCAGTTTTATCCACCTAGGAAGGTGATTTGCTTGCTTCTGTACCCTTCTTGTTCTTTGTTTGGAACACTGTATCGTATATTTTTAGCTCTCCAGGTCTGCTCTCAGTTTTGACAATTTTCGTCACCTTTGTTGTCCTACTTGTAGTTCCCTTATCAATTATTCACCATCATCTAAAAATTAACTGGGTTTAGGCACTATGGATCAAAGCATTATTAATTCTTGCTTTTTTGCAAATTCTTCCGTGCTACGTTTGATCCGTCGTTAATGTAGGATGGAGGGCAAAAGCCTATCAAAAAATCTTACTGAAGAAAACAACGAACTTAAACAGTACATCGATTCGCTAAACAAGGAGTGCATGGAACTTCAAGCTGCACTTTTCGAAGAAGCAAATAAAATGGTACTTTTTCTTTTTGATTTTACATCGATTAGGCACAAAATGCCTATGCTGCTGAACACGCTGCCGTTAAGCGAACAAAGGAAGTAGAAAGGGAGAACTTGGTCAGTAGCTTTGTTTTCTCCTTTCGTTTTGCTATTTTGGTTCACAACGGACCCTCTCTCATTTTAAGATTCTTAAGAAAGAGGTCCAATCTCTCAAAAATAGCCTTCGGCTGCAAGTTGAGGAAAAGCGAGATGTGGTTGCGGTGCGGAGGTTTGTTGAACCTTCCTTAAGCAGCCGATGATTCATATATCCTTTATGCACCCACAGTTCTCGGTTTTTAAGAGAATTGCTTTGGGCTATCCGTTTTTCCAGTTTAATAATTTTAATACCATTTTTGTTTATCGTGATTGTGTAATCAGAACTACCCGTCCATTTGCAAATTTCAACTATCCGTTTCAGTTGTTAAGGCACTTCGAATCTTTTATAATGTTCTAGCGTGCAAGTTTTTTGTGCCTTGGTTTAATTGCATAGTGCAAGCTATTACTTCCACTACAAAGGCATTCAAAGTTCTGATCATTTCGGTCAACTAGGATTTACAAAAATCAAACGCTTCATGAAGTGCTTTAGTATCAGTAACTTTGCTGATTTTGGCAAGTCTGATAGATCATTTGGAAATTCTAATCTATTCACCACTTATTCAACGCTACTGAGCTAACGATCAAACTAATATTGAGTGTGAAACCACATGTCTGCTGCTTAAGTTTTGTTTTGAGCTACATACACCGACTAGACATCCTGTTATGATCTCTCTACTCTATGAAACCATTGACTTTAAAGTGAGGATCGTCCCATGCCACCACAGGTCAATGTCAGGCGTGGTCTCGCAAGCTAACGCATTGGAAGCCGAGGACAAGGGCAAGGGTAATCGTCTACGTCGTCTCAGCATTCTTCTTAACCCCAGTCCCAATCTTCCTCAATCCTCTGCTTGTCTCGCAGCGCCTGTAGATCGGCGTAGGTGGAGCTCCACCTTGAGCACTTCCATAATTAACGTTACATCACAAGAGCCTGTCACTCGCAAATACCTCCTTGAGGCCCTCACTTCCGGTGTTAACTGTGCTGAAACCGTGGGAGATGACCACTTCCAGGCAAGTTCTTATTAATCAAATCTTGGCTGAAGTCTTTTTATATCCTCGTTACTTCGATCGGGTACTATTTAACGTTATTCTTTCATTTTTCTGTTATTATTAATTCTTCATGTTTGCTACAATCAACTTGTATTCGTCAAATAAGGATGGGTTTCCACAAGTCTGCTGTGATTAACTACCACTTATGGCAAGAGGTAATCTGACCGTTTTGGTTTTGTCTAAACCGTTATTTGAAAGCGTGTGGTCGTTTTTTGGCAAAAACTAGACAATGTCCACGAAATGACCCCGGCCCTATTGTAAATGTCTTGTTTTTCGATTATTGATTTTGCTTTTCTTATCGCAATAACTTCAGTGCACTTCATTCCGTGGTTACTTTTCCGAATTTTGACATTTAAACTGTCTGGTCCCTTCCCCCACGGTCTCCATCGTTGTTCGTTCCCACAATTTGTAGTGATGATAATTCTCCTTTTTTGCATTACCTATTTCTCCATACGACTCTACACTTTCCTCAAACGATTAATCATTGCCATGTTTGGCCTCTCTCATGACTATCATTCAGAATGAAATAATCCAGTCTGCATTTTTCAATTTTATTCACTTTTTCCGAGTGAGCTTACACTCTGACTACCATTCAAATTTTTTGCTATCCGCTCAAAAAGTCCTCCTTTTGCCCTCAGCAGGTTTGAATTCGCTAATACGTAGGTCAACCTGTGAAGTCGTGTTTGCTCTCAAGCGCATGCTATTAGGCTTGTTTACCACATGCCAAACTTACATTTTTGGACCTCGTGGTGTCACATCAAATTCAGCTCTTCCGCGTGCTCCGATGCTTTGCATTTGTGTGCGCTCCAATTCGAGAGTGTTTGCTGCACTTCAAGAGCATTTGAACAGCGAGTATTATAACAATAACGAAAACAACTCGCTGTACGCAATCACGTGGTACGGTTTAACACGACACCGACCTCATTAATCGATCCCTCATGGATGTATAGTTGCGTCACGTCTTGACAACTGCGTGTGGATGGCATTCTTAATGTCTATCAGTTCTACCAAGCCTTCAGCATTTCTTATTATTATTTGGTTTAGCCGAATCTGTAGACTGGATACCTTAAAATGGTCGACATTTAAGTGTTTTTTATGCTACCTTCGGTTAGCCTCCATTTAATGGTCTTGACATCCTTAAATTCAGTCTTTCGTGGCAATAGTAGCAAGTAGTAAGAGTCTTTCTGAACACGATGGACTCCTCCTTGATTGGAAAATTATTATTACTAGAATCGAATGTTTGAACTCCTCTTAGTCACCATATTTCTCCACATTACTCGCCTCAAAGATTGTGCAACATGTTGCGAGCAGCTCCTGTATCTTCAGAATCGGTTTAAACTCGATTTGTAAAGCAAGCAGCATCAATCCACATCTCTCAGACTCCATCTTTGATGTCGAGCGCAGTGAAGGGTATTGTACTGATGAACTGACTTTGCAGCCCATACATTATAAAGTCGGCTTTTATAAGACCCCTTCCTAAGAGGTAAGTTGTTGCTTTGATCGGGATTGAAGCTCTTAGTTGTAAAGTTGATTAATCTGGTGTTGGCTATTAGTGTCAGTAGGTCAAGTCCGTACATGCAGACCCTCCTCACTATATTGTTATTTGTTTTATTTTCAATTTTTTTTTGAAAGCTCCGAGACCTCTATCTTCTTTAAAATCCCTTGTTACGTTAGTTATATTTGTTAAGGTTTTGATAATAATGGCAGCGGATGATATTGAAGTGGTGCCTCATGGTTTAAAAAATGCATTACTTTGGGGTATTGTTCCTCTTTTCTGCCATATTTTACATGCTAGGAGTGGGATTAACCTCTGGTTCCAGATAGCTTTATTTGAAATCCCATTATTTATTCCAAGAATGCCTTTTCCTTTGCCGGTTTGTATGAAAATCTGCCCACACATGGATATATTCATAGCCTCGCTTTGGCTATCTTCAGATAAATGCAGTACTCCCTTATTCTGCTCATATTCAAATTGGTCGCCAATTTAACCCGTTCCTGCGTAAGACACGTGGTTCAGGTCACCTGCATGCATCAGATTCTAGTGGATGGACGTCGAGAGACCATTAATCGCTCTGCTCATCTGCTCTGAATCTGGCATTGGCAAAATCTTAGTACAGTTTGCTGTTGTCTTGACTGAAATTTAGCTAGGCTCACAATTTTCCTTAGTACCATTACGTAAGATGCGGCTAGATTTGTTCTTATCCATTGAATTCACCTTTTTGGCAATGGGTGTTGCCTTTGGTGCATTTGTGTGAGACGGCAATAGACATTATGCATGTGGTTAATTATCCAACCAAGTCGATTTCCGACTTCCATCCGCGAGTACATCAGTGAACTTGAGCTGTTATTTTTTGTACGTATAACTGCTTCGAAGGCACCTTCCGACCCCACTCCTCTTTTCTAAAAAAAGCTTTTGGGTACAAATTTCATGCTTGACAAATAACAACCCTTCACATTCGACTGAGTGATGGTGATGTACATATTATCAGTCGTGAAAGATTTGATAAACAGGTGGTGAGAGTCATTCCTTATTTGAGTAATCGCAGGTGTGCGTCGGATCAGCATCGCACGCTGAATAGGGTACGTAAGGCAGCATCAGACACCAAAGACCTATTATTTTAGTCAGAAATAAGGCAGCATTTCAGAAGAAGGGCTTTAACGCTCTTTATTGGAGATTGAGCCTATAATTTATCACCAATTGTCGTTAATTGTTAATCAATTCACCCACTACTAGAACAGTGCAAAATGAGGTGCCTCTTGGACCTGTTAACCTGTTAACCTATTTTGGCTCTAACCTACCTATTCGCCACGTATGACTTGATGCAGGCATTTATCTCTTGTAAGCTAATAAATAGCACTTTTTTACATGCATCGCCCATTTGTACCTAGCAAAAGGAAGGGGAAAAATGTGGGTTGATAAAAGAATTGCATAATAATGTCCACGGGATTTGCAATTCTGTCTGTTCAGGAAAATGGGTAATGCGGAATCCACTTTCCATCTAACTTTGGGTCCACTCACGTGCTTTGGAGCCTCACAAAGTCCACGCCTCATCTAGCACGAGATCGGGTGGTTTAGACACCACGTGATATGAACTTTCTCAGTTCTGTCCCGTGGTTGGTCGCACTTCCGTACTCACCTTCAGCCTTCTCATGCTTGAACGAAATCCTATCGTACGTTTTGATGATAAGCGCCATTCCGCGCCTTTGATTTCGAGAAAGATGGAGTTGGTTTAAAATGGCTTCCATGATAATTTTTGGTGATTCAAAAATGGGGTGATAGATGGGTTGTAGTGTTATATACTTCTGATGTATACTGTTGAGACTTTTCATCGCCAAGTAAATGGTTTTACTTCAATGCTCTGAGCGTTAACATATAGGGGAATGGTTCCAATACCGTCACTGGAATCAGCATGGTCTCCTTTGTATGCTTTCCTTGCTAATATAGCCGCTCTATTAATGTGCATCGGAAAGAAAAGCAATATGTTCATTCGTCGACATTTGGAATTAGCATTTTACAGCCTAGCGGTTGGGCAGATTAGTCAACTAACTAAATCAGCCTCTGAATGGCATTATTTGGCTTCTTTTTCCATCTTTTTCTTATTAGTGACACATAGATTTGTGGTACACGACCTTTCCAATAACATAAACATTGACGGTCCATTTTGCTTGTTTATTGACACAACGCTTCCCGTTCGTGTTATGGATGCAGGACTCCCTTCATATGATTGATTAATGTTAGCCTAGTTGCTCTCGTCACATAACCATACACTTTTTTCTGAATTCCAGGATAGCATAGCAATGAATCCTAGTTTTTCTGGATTAACTAATTAATTGGTCATAAATTATTTTTTTTATCAATTGTACTTGCAATGTGGACACGTTCTATGACGGGACGCTAGCAGGATCGTATCGCGTTTGGTAGTACTTTTAAAAGTAGTTACACCCAGTGTCGTCTTCTGGACTAGCCGTTTTTCTCTTTCACGTGTGCTCATTTATGACAACTCGTCAACATCTGTTTTCTTTGCAAACCAATCCCTTCGGCCTGTAGAGTAGATCTGCTAAGTGAAGAGACCAGTTATGAGCGCAAGGCTTCATCTATCACAAAGTAGGGTCTCTGTACAACAGTTAACATGGCGATTTGTGATGTTTTTTGAATGTCTCCACATTGTTAATGCGATTTTGGAATTCTGATTCTGATAACATTATCGGTTGAATTTTAATACGCCCCTACGTTAGAAACTCAGCGCAGCAGTGCAATGCTGACGTGACTCATCACATTCACTTGCTAGTGTCGCACATGACGACCCGCCTTTCCTGTCTGAGCTGGACTTCACATGAGTTCGACATCTAAGATGATTTAGCAGGTGCGTCGAATTGTATCGCGATCGGATTGTCCGAGTTCATCCAATAACATATGAGTAAGACATTTCTGTACAGAGGTCAAACTAATAAAAAGCTGATGACGGAGAGGGAATTATTGTATCGACTTATCACTATTTTCATGTCATACCGCCAGAAATGTTGGTAGTCAGTGGTCTAAGCGGCAACTTTTTCTTACAACATGCAACGTTGGAGATAGATGCCATGGTGTCATTTATGTTTAGAGCTTTCTTGGACAGATTGAGTTTTTGCCTAAACGCTACATAACTCTTTTTTCAACCCACCGATGCTAAAATCGCTTGAAATATGATGACATTAACGATGAGTAGATAGTTGTACCGTGAATGATGCTAGCATCACTTGTAAGTTAATCCCCGAGCTTTTTGGCAATTTAGGAATTTGTTGACTGGGTGGATTGTGGATGCTGTCTAAACTGGCCAGTGAACAGTGATGGTAGTGGTGGTGAAACAAATCAACAACCCATGATGAGCATCACCTTTGCTGATAGCACTTCCAATGGTGAAGACTTTCGTACACGCAGCGCCTCCGACGTCGGCGATATCAGACTTCCTCATCCTGCTCCGCCTCCGCCGCCACTGCCCTCATCGAAAGAGCAGGCCTTCTTCCATCGTTTGGTGCGCGAAGATATTGCACCCGCGTTGGCATTTGCTGACTCCCACATTTGCGCCGCTCTACCCTTAGCTCTCAGTCGTCTCGGAGTGGAGATGGAACCTCTCTCATCCATCTTCGCGTCCTCCCCTACCACCGATGTAGACGTCACAGACATCCCTACCTGTCCTCTCGTGCCCGGTGAACCAGTCAAATTTAGCCTTAAGCTGGAGGTGTGTGACAGGACTTAAAGATTTTTAAATTATCTATAAAATTTGTTGGTAGGAGAGTGGTTCAGATTGTTTGTCGCCAGGTTTCTGGCAAAGGTAACCAGGAGGCAAGGGTTTCGACACAGGCGTCTCTATGTCCCGACAGGTATGAACAAATTACGGGAGGACGCCGACCAAAGATGTAAGGCGTCTAATAGGATGTGTCGAAGCGCGAAACACCTTGATTCTCCCATACTTGTATTATTTAAGTGGTCTCGGACCGATGGGATTTATCGTTGTGCTTGAAGCACATTGCGGATATTTTGAATAAACAGGGATGACTAAGCAGGACCGTGACATTCGAAGCTGTTAAGCAATCAGTCACAAAATGGACTTCCAGGGTCCTGAAAAATGGAGACCTTCTGAGGTTACAGACGGCCAGCCAGCAATTGTGGTGAACGCAATAGTTGTCCTGTGGTTGATTGTAGCACAGGCCACTATTCCTGACTAGATGGAAAAGTGGCCTGCTACATATGTGACGAGATTTAGACAAATAAGTGATTGACGTTGACGCAAATTGATGGATTTATTTGAGTGAGTTATACATTTTCACATCATTTGAATTGCAAAGCTCTCTCCCTTCTCATTTGTTCACCATCTCCAACTGCCTTTGCGAGGATCCCTAACCAAGTTTTACTTTAAAGTGAATGACCTGTTTTCAACGAGGCATCATTTGTAAGCTCGGCTGTTGCAGAAATCAGACCACTTCTCCAAATCCAATCAGCGTGCAACAAAGTATGAATGACACCCACTTGTTTCTGACCTCTTAGTAGTTTTTATTTCCCTAGAGGCATTTATTTTTGACCTCTAAGATCTGAGAGACATTTGCAACCGAAGGAATTCTACAGTTTTATCGTTGTTGATGTCGCGTCTGTAGTGCTGGATTCCAACCTATATTCGGTCGACCAGTCATGCACTCCGGTTTATTTCCAGTTTTGATAATTGCCTACCTTAAAAGTGAAGATCGACTCTGATTGGCACGAATGCTATGCTGTTTAGATTCATTGTCCACTAGTAGTATTGCTCAAATCCTGTCCTTAATGTTCCAATCGTTTTAAACAGGTCCCAATCACTGCCTTCATCCAAGTTGGAGGATTGTTAAAGAACTGTCAGTGTGTGTCAGCTAATGAAGAATCCAATGTACTGATCTACAACTCGATTATTGTTTTACTGCACAACCGCATGACAAGCTACCACTCCAATGAACTCACATGATTTCACGTATTTTGTGGCTTGCTGTAGTGTTTCGCTCAAATCCTTTTAAGCTAAAATGGCGTCCTCTGATTTTACCAAATGTAACACTCATTAACCGGCTATTAAAAGTGCGTGATCACACAGGAAGGCTGATGACATAAAGCATTCCCCTCTACGTCGTCTTCATGATTCTCGAATAAAATGCACATGCATGGACATGCACACTATCCACGAGAGAGGAATAACAGTGGTACAAGAACTCCATTATCAAAGCTGGCATTCTTTATCCTTAATTCCATCATGCGTTTTCTTCCAGACGAATTGGATTTATAAAATGGACCTGAGGTTACATCCGAATAGAGAAACTAATTTGGATTCGACGTTTAGTAGGTAAGTCTCTGAACGTGAGTATCAGAGTCACTTAACCCTGGCTCTCCATTTTCGGTCATGATGTCTTCCGGTTCTCTTTCGGCGACTATGCTATGAGACATTCTTTCAACCGGTGGCGCAGATGGTGTTATCAAGTCAATCATGCGAACTTTCTGTGGTGCATGAACTGGAATTACAATGCATTTGTTAGTAGAACAGATCATACCTGTCTTTAATCCTCCCTAACGAATGAGATTAGATATGGTTCAGCGAAGTTTAGCCATACTTGCGATGTTCACTTTCATAACTGTCCACCTCAATACTTTTCCACTGATGTAGATGGTGAATGAAGACGATTCAATTTCAGTGGAGTGTTGCAACATCTCATCGTGGGCGCGCCAACGCATCGCTGCAGTGGCTGACCTCTTCCAATACCTCAGCCTCATTCGTCGAGGCCTGACTGGCACGCCTACCACTCCAGTCACCCGCTCTTCTTCCAACTCTCTGCCTCCTGTCAACCGCGCTTCCCTTTCCCTCACTGTGGACTCGGATGCCCCCACAGAATTGATACGTCGCCATCAGTTTGAGAATGTTCAACGTCGTCGGTTGGTTATCGCCCTCTCGCGTCTTGGTTATGGGTTGCCTGGATTGGAATAACTTAAAGATGTGTATATACTCAATCCTCTTCTGTATCTAGTGCAGAGATTGCTCAGTCTTTCACACTCTACCCCTTAGTGCTCCTACTTTACCTTATGACTAAGACTAATCGAATGGAGTAAAAGCAAAAAACTTCTCTCATTTTTTGCACCCCAATGCTTTTTGATTGTAAAGCAATTTTAGGGGTCCCTTGGTGGCCTAATTGTAGCTGTTTACTGTGACATCAAGTGGGCCATTGCCGACGCTGACTCATGCATGGCGGCCCCTCCATCAGCATTGCATGTGTCGTGGGTTTTCCAGTGTGAAGCGCTTCTCTATAATTTCATAATTGGTTAGATCGAATTGCGTGGTTATTAGCTTCTTTCTGAGGCCTCAGGAAAAAAGTGCTGGGGCGTTAGGTGCAAATGTACAAGACCGCAGATAGCCTGTTGTGTGTAGGGCCACTTTATTGGATAGACGTCATATCTAACGTCGGCAGTTAGTGTGCATTCAGTCTGAGATAGAGGATCGCTAAACTAACCATTATCAATTTTACAAAGTATATATATGGCTGCGATGTCGACACAGGAGTCATTCCATTGAGCAAAGCGGATTACTTTTCTGAGTGCCTGATTTAACAATTTGCATTTTCGGACAGTACATGTGGTAGCCCTAAGTGTAAGCTTGGTATATCCGAAGCATCATAAAATTGGGGAAATATAATGACTGAATGTGCACGGGATTGTGTCGAAGCCGAAGCCTCATCCAATTTAGGCTCTGCCTGACCAGGGGAGCAAATGATGTACTGCCACGGCACCACAGGGCCACCATGCAGCATAGATATAGAAAACAAGAACAAATATTACGCTTCCATGGCTATGCATGCATTTCTTTGGGAAGCAACCAAGAAAATGCAAGCCTACAATGCATGATTGCTGCTAACGGCTTGGAACTTATCTGACAATGTTTCGTGATGGGCTACTTGAGAGTAGAGGTGTTTGTTTACATAAAGGGCCAGCAAAGTGGACTAGTCCTATAGGGTACTTATAACCCTAATTCATTTTACAATGTCAGTTCACATATTGCTCAATATTATGACCTAGGTTTATTAGGGACAGGAAATGCCTAATACAACAGTTCAAGAGCTGCTGCCAATTGTCGAGCAATGGCTTCATATGCTGATTATTGGTTCCCTACTTTAACGTTATTTTCTCTTATTAATAAGGCCGATACAACAAACAGTCTACGATCAATTTAAAATTTTTTAAGAATACAATTAATAAGCCTAAGTTTACAATGAATAAATACGCAAAACGAAATATCCTGCAAATAAATGTCAAACACCGATCATTTTCATTAGATTCGTTATTGCTCGAGTCGCATTGTATTGTCATCTGCAACATAGTCAATCTATTGCTAACCATTTGCAAACGGAGATGTGGAATCTCTGTACATTATCTGTATGATGGCGTGTTCTTTACGGGAGCGAAAGATCGGCAAGTCCTTCATTTCGCTTTTTCGTTGTTAACAGCAAGGAATGTTTTAAGGAGAATACTGCTGCCCACTTGCCCCACAGCACTATCTCGTTTCATACTGACTCGACTTTTAAGCTGGTGAAGGATTCATACTATTACTGTCTTGAGTATTTTCACCGTAATAATTCTGTTTTGGGTGCAGACAAAAACACACGCACATAAGGCGCTTTTGGCGATGCAATTGAATCTTATCAGCAACTCTTTGGCTTCTTTTCAAGTGGTTATGGACATTTTTTAAGCATCTTGTGCGCATACTGAGGGTGTCCCTCTTAATTATTTTGTTTACGTTTTTTTAAAGTTGCATTGTTAATCATGTTATGAAGTTTGCTCGTTTAAAAACATAGTGCCTAAAATTCCTTAAACACTAATTAATTTCGAAGTTACGTGCTCTACCATCATTGGTCAAATACAATCGGCTAGTTTTTTCGGCTAGACGTCTTTTTTTGCCGCATGTTCCTATGCCCACGTTATCTGAAACCTGTAATTACTTTTGAATATCTTACTTTATCGGGTTCAGACCGGTGGCCTTGAGGTTAATATTTCACTTTCTTGTGCACTCTCTTTTAATTCGTCTTAATGTTTTTATAGAGGCGTTAAAGTGCATGCTGAATTTCAATGCAGCTAGCACCAAAGAGGATGAGCCCCAGTGGAAAGTAATTGGTGTATATTGTGTGATACTATCCACAAATTTCACAGATTCTTATTTATGATAGGACGGGACAAGACATCATCGCTCCCCTTTTCTCAGTCAAAGAACTTCGCTCCGTCGGTGTGACTCTCCATTTGTAAACCTTCCTTTTTATTCACTTTTCTTTAAATTTAGGCTCCTTGATATTAAACGTGAACCAATCCCTGATGTTCCTGCGGTATATTTCGTGTATCCTTCAAAAGATAACATCAAGCGTATTTGTCAAGTATGGATATCTATCCTCTCCAAGCAACCCCCGTTTAGGACTTCGAGTCTGATCTCTATTCGTCCTACTACCTCAATTTTATAAGTCCCATATCTCGCGAGAATCTGGAATTTCTAGCTGAAACTGCACTAACGGAGGACTGTATTCAGCGGATTAAAAAGGTCTATGACCAGTACACCAGGTTTATTTGTCTGGAGGATGACTTATTTGTACTTAACGAACAACCTTCAAACCAAGAGGGAACTTTTTATGGTAAGTATTCGCACGAAATGACAATTTCTTATTCCACTTTTTCAGCACTGAATAAGACCTCCTGCAACGAAGAGGACATTCAAAGAACCACTAGTTTCATAGTTGACAGCCTCTACTCTGTGTTTGCCACTCTGGGGACTGTTCCTATTATCCGTTGTTCTCGCTTCAACGCAGCCGAGGCAGTGGCTAAGGACCTGGACAACCGCTTCCGTGAGAGTCTACGAGACTCTCGAAACACTCTTTTCTCCGGCATGGAACATCGAGCCTTTAATGAGGCTGGCAAGAATGGTGGCGTCAATGCGGTTGCTCTCACTCCTTTCTCGTTTCAGCGTCCTCTGCTGATCCTCCTTGACCGGGTACTGGATTTGGCCACGCCTCTACATCACGCCTGGACCTATCAGAGTCTTCTTCACGATATTGTGGTAGACGTTCTTGTTTTTTGGTTCTCACTCATTATCACTCTAGGGCATACATCTCAACCACGTGGAAATGCGAGCCCAGAACTCGGTCGAGGTGGAGGATGCGCGACAGGTGAAGATGAAACGATATGATCTAACCACGTCGTCGGATCGAATCTGGCGTATTCACCGTTCATCCCCCTTCTCTGATGTGGCGGGTGCGTTGCAGGAGGAGCTAAGTGTCTTGCAAGATCGAGAGAAGAAGCTGGGAGCTCTGAAAGCCTCGGTTACAGATGGGCAGGCACTTTCAACTAACGGTGGTGTCATTGGTGTTGGTGCAGATGCTACTTCTGCACTCACTAGCACCATAAAGTCAGTACTGAGTTGTTAAAATGAAGATTGGGAAATTCAGAGGTGTCTCAATGTTCTAACATTTCTGTCTCGGTTGTTGTAGCACTCTTCCCCAATTGATGGAGCAGAAGAGATGTGTAGATATGCATATGCATATTGCGACGTCGTTAGCCAAGGAGATAAAGAATCGTCAGTTGGACCTCCTAAATGATGTGGAGGAGAAGCTTATAACTCTGCAGTCACTTCAGGTAATAAGCGGTCTATCACTTCTTTGCTTCCTGGTGACTTAGTAGTGGGGTTGGAGTCTCATTTTTGATGTGTTTTGCTTCGCTTGCAAACTCACTTGGGTTTAGAATCCATTTTCTGGAAAATCCAATTATCCGTTTTTTACAAATAAAACATCCTGATTGGATCTTTTATGAAGAAATGTGATTGGTTTCTTTGGGTGGTTCAATTTAATCATCTATTCCCGTTTCCTTTAATTTTAATCGAATTTGATCTTCACAGGAAACATCGCATTGTTTTGAAGAGGTTTCGTTTTTGAAATCGAGCTGTATTTTTTTGTACAAGGCATACATTTTTTACCTAGCTAGCCCAGAATAATTTAGAGCTTTAGAGTATTGGGAACTTTGAGTCTATATATCCTGCATCATGTGTGTTCTTTTAATTACACCATCCGAATTACGTATTATACAATTGGATAAGTTAGCTTTATTTGACTTGAGCGGAAGCTCGTTCCCTTTACTGCATAAATGCTTGCGAATGGTTGATTCAGGTGGGCACAGGTCGAAAGCAAACACTACGTATGTTTTTGTTGTTTGTTGCGTCTTATGTAGCATTGAAAGGTGTCACTCACCTAGTATTTGGTGTACGAGTCTAGCATCTATTGCCATCCCATCAGCATGAGAGCAGGTGTCACCATGTTGACCCCACCACGTTCTCTGTAAAGCTCATTGTTGCCTCTCCTCTATTTGCTTGCCCTAACTGGTGCAGTTGGCCACCACTTGGCTCAGTCAATAGTCTGGCCATATTTGTGTCCCCTAATAAGCGTGAGGTACACTCTGCCCTAAATACCCATTTCATTTCTTTCAAAGGTCTTCAAAGGTGATTTATGATCTCTAAGGTTCTCTATTTGTCATCCTAGTTACCAGTTTAACCTTGTCCATTTTCGTTTGCTACCGAAATCTTCGCGCAAACTGTACCCATTTTTCTGTCTTTACTATTTTAGTGAATCCAAAAATACCGCCTACAGTGAAAGCACCAATCTTTTTTCATACCTTTCAGGAGCACTCTCTACCGGATTTGCTGAAAATGGAGTGCTTCAGCGGCGAGGACAAGTTGCGCCTCCTCCTAATCGCTGCATTCTCCTGCAACTCCGCCTCGGCCGTCACCTCTGGTGGTGGCAGTGGTGGTGGCGGCACTAATGGAGGAGGTGGTGGTGGCGTCGGTGCAGGCAGTAGTTCTATTGCCTTCAACCTCGCTAGCACCGAACTCGACCGATATGGTGAACAACTCAAGGCTGCTTATCCAGATCTCGACATTTCAGCCATTAAATATGTACATCAACTCAGGTAACTTTGGCACCTGGCTTTGATGGACTCTTTTTAAGTTCAGTTCTCCTATTTAAATAATTCGTTCAAGCTTCAAAATCTTGCACTGCTATATCATATTTCATTGATGTAACTTGAGCTATTTTCTTTGATTGACTTCCTGTTGATCGTGTATTTGAGCCTGAGAAATGGCGCCAAACAGTAGGTAGTGGTCGAGGTATCTTTTTTAGGCTTTCGATGGGGCCATTTAATTAATTATAAGCTGAGTTTGGTATGTCAGGTATGGAGAAGTCAACAGCCACTTTGAAAGTACCGTTTAAATGTTTTTTTTTTATTCTTAATCCATTGGTGACGATGAGTCGATGATCGTGACCTAGAGCCTTCTTCTTAAAGACTGGATGACTCATGAATGATTGTTGAGTGACCTTGCTTCGTAAAATGCATTCATCCCTGAAAACGAGTCACCTCTCCCTGGTATTTGCTTATTTTGATCAATATTCCGGCCTCACTTGTCCGTTTAACAAGGACCGAAAGTAAGGCGATTGATTTGCTTGACACACGTTATTCCGGTGAATGTGTGTGTGTGCCAGAGTTAAAGGTGAAGAAACAGGCGTTTTCTTAATTCATTCGAATGCTGTAACCTTCTGTCTGTTGTAGACGAATAGCGCGTTTGTCCCAGGCAGGGACGGGGACATCAAGCGCTGCCTCGGAGGCAGGTAGAAGTAGCACGGGTAGAACGATGTTCAACAAACTCGTCTCTCATGGCTCTGCTATGTTCCTGGAAGGTATGCGTGTCCTCTCCGGCCGCAAATCCGTGCGTTTTAACCATTTTCTCTCCATAACTTCTTGACTAAATCCACCAACTCTGTCTTCTCTATCCTTTTGTAGTACTTCCCCTTCACACAAATTGTTTCACAACTGGTAGAGAACAAGAGCGACATGGAGGATTACAGCTACTTTGATCCTAAGCTACATAAGAGAGGAGCTGCGTAAGTACTAAACCGCAACCTCCTCCTTTAGTAAAATTATGCGGATCAACTTGAGTGAATTTACGGTGGTTTTGTACTTAATTGTGTTGTTAATTAGTCCCTCACTCCCTCTTTACGTCGAGTTTACCCGGCAATAATGTAAACCTGCTTCTTGAAATCGATTGTGATGGTTCATCGATACAGTAATAATATGATGGTTACAATTATTGGTAAAGTTGGTCGAAAACTTCATACTCGACTGATAAAATTTGAGAGATCCCTATAAACGGTCCTTTTAGAAGCATTCCTCGAGCCAAGCAGCCCTTCTACGACGTCTACGTGTTTGTGGTGGGCGGAGGGACTTATACGGAGTACCACAACCTCTTACAGTGGTCACGCTCTGGTACCACCCCCAGTGGAGTGACCGGTGGAGGCGGACTCGGCGGGGCTGGTAGCCATGGCAGCTCCTCTTCTCTTAACGCTCTTGGCCTCTCACTCGCTGGATCGAGCACCTCGATAGCTGATTTGCCCACCTCTGGCACCGCCTGCGTCGCCGCCTATGGCAATGCCACTGCTCGGCGGATCACCTACGGAGGCACCGAAATTCTCTCTCCTAAGCTATTCCTCGATCAGGTACGCTATGGTTGAATATCGGCTTACGGTTAACTATGCGCTGATTTTTCACCCTCCTGAAGAACCGATTGGGACCAATTTACTCATGCGTTGATTTATATCAGATCTCTAATTACATCTAATCATATGTGGTCGCATCATCTGCGGTTTAAAAGGGTTGGCTGTAACACTGGGAGATACTACTAATTTTTCCTCTACTGAAACTGTGGAGATGATGAACTCTTTTTATTACCAATCGGAAAGTATTTTTAACCTTGATTTGTAGAGCTTGGAGTATTCAATGGATTATTTTTCACCTCTTAGCTGACCTTTGGCGGCACATTTTTTTCGGCTACTCACGTACTTTGACTGTTAGTAATATTTAGTGATTGCATTGTGCCGTGATGCTTAAATTCCGGGCTAAGGTGCTGCGAGACAATTGACGCATAGACAAACTGGGAAATAGGTGGCTTGACTGATGGCTTCAGCTACGTCACGATTGTGATATGGTTGAGTAATACGTCATTCTGCTGTATTTGCTCGCATCAATGGTCATCACCGTTTGCAATGATAAGCTATCAATGTTGATATTCATATCTTCTGGTCTGGGGTTCTTTAGTAATTTTCTTTTAGGTGGTTGATGCAAGTGGATGAGGGTAAAGCCTTCAGTTGTTTTTTTCACTTCCTCCCCGTGTCAGTAATTGACAGGTCGTCTTACTCGACTAAATAGTCGCATGCATAGATTGAGGTAAAGGAAATTGGTGTATTAGATAGGTTTCTTTCAGCTGTACGGAAGGATGAGGACTCCTGAAATAGGTAACAAGTAGGACAACATACAGCCATCGTAGAGGTCGAATCGCATGCATTTAGCTATGCTTTTAACAAAGGGATAAAATAGGCTGTGACATCATGGTCTAATATGCTAAACCCTTCCATACTGTTAAGGGTATTTCTCGTGAAGTTTGATGAAACCCATCTTTTCAGTGGTGGTGATTCCGATGCATTCCTTAAAAGAAGTTAACGGTTCCACGCTCAAACCCTTCATTGATGCGCGCACATGACGGCAAAATCCATTCCATTGTAGTTTATAAGCTTTTAGCCTTCCTCTTTTAAAGGAACTCTAACCATGGCTATATGTACAACCTGCAGTAAATGAAGAACTCAAACACTAGAACAGTATGATTTCCTTTCTTACCGTTATTAAGTCGTTTTAAAGCTATTCGGCTGCATGTATTTTTCAGTCAGCTTTTAGAGTTACGAATTTTTCTCCTTAAAAGAATGTTTTTTAATCTTTAAATGCGATTGTAATGACGTTATCATTGGTTGGGGACCTTGTTATCAGTTTATGAAATTCCAATTCCTCCTGTTGGAGAGCTTTGTGGCTTACGCCATGGGAGGGGCAAGCAGACTTTTATCCTGCTATCCTGAACACCGCATGAAGAACGCCGAAGGTTCTCACTTTAACACTGGAAGTAGTATATCCTTTAACTCTTACTCCACCTTCGTGGTTTACAAGCTCTCAGTTAATATTTGTGAACATTCTGCGTTGGTGAACCTTGAAAACCTTTAACCAATCCTCAAGTTCTTCGGTGTTCGAGGTGATAATTTGTTGCTTGAGCACGCTGAAGTAGTCAAATCCCTTTGAATGTCGTGCTACTGTCCATTGTTTAGTTAGGATCTTCTCCGGCAAGGTGTATCCTAATCTGCCAAATAATCCTCATTAAATCATTATGGGGCATCTTGTATGTTACAGCTTCCTTGAGCTGATTAGCTGGTCAAGTGTAGTAAGTTCCAGACCTACGGATTGGCTATATTTAATGCAGAATGATAATGGCACCGTCTGCGTATCATAATTGACGAGGAATTTTAGCTCGCGCCGTGACTAACCTATATAACTTCCATGTGCTTTAGCTAACTCGACTCGGTAGAGAGGCATAGGAAGAGCCGAGGAAATATCCGATCGTGCGCCCTTCTTTCCTTCTCTCCATCGCCCCTCTCCATTCTCTCCCTACATTACATTGGCCGTCTCACTGTCCCAAAACAGCTTCTCCCCGTTGGTACTCTTTTCACGATTTTCTGATTTGAGGATATAGATGCTTATCGTACATTGGCGCCGTCGACCATGTGTGGGCGAATTGGGGAATTAAGTGGTAAGCTTTATAAACTGTCTATTAATAAAGGAGTGGTTAATGAGTGCTAGCTGTGTGAGTGGAGGATGAAGTTCAGTGAGGTAATGGCAACGCTACTGATTGGGTTCGAATGGATGTCGCGGCGGCTGTTTGGAGGCGTATGTAGTGAATGGTGGTGGCAATCATGTGTCGCCAATTCAAACTGTGGGGCATTAGCAGGGTGTAGGAGGTAGTTGTTGCCACTGGGGGGGGGGTCAGATCCTGTGCTTCTGGATGGTTTACGCCATGATGCGGCTAGGGAATGGTTCTTGTCGTGAAGGCGGCTTGTCTATCACCTGACGAATGTGGTAGGACGTGGACTTCCAACGACCGGGGTCTTGGGACGCCTCTGTTGTGGTGTCCTAAGTACTCCAAGGCCTGAACAAAATATTGTAGTATTGATCTCATAAACAAAGCGGTGGAGATAACAATCGCACAAAGGAGCGTGCTTCGTCTTAGATCAGGTTGGTCTACTACAGTTTAAATGTCACTTCACATTTTGTCTAGATTTAAAATTTTACAATTATTCGAGACTACGAATTAGTTTGCTTTGATTACTGCTCTTTTTAAGTAAGCATAAATTGTTTTTATGCATCGTTGATTAGATCGACTTTTCGAAATCACGTGCTGCATAGAATGACTGCTGATCAAGGGCGGGGTTTGTCTCCAATGTCAAAGCGGAGAAAGTTTGACGAAGTCTCTGATACAACTCAAGGTGTTCTATCTGATGCGGACGTTGGGATATCAGGTTTTATGTATACAAGGAATGCCGGCTTTCAGGGGACAATGAAGGGCAGGTGTGTTGTAAAATTTAAGCGACATTGCTGTCAGGTGGGAAGATTTTCTTGTTCGAGAAGTTGATCTCTCTGGCAAAATATGCCGGCTGTCATCACTTGTACCGAAAGACATTAGCAATGATGGTTCTGTGAGGCCTCGATTAATCTTATTATGAACAGTCTGCTGCAGATCCATCCTCAAGTTATATCATTCCCATAGAAATTGATGAAATCCTTAAAGAACTTGATCGGGAGACGATGTTTGAGGCCTCTTTTCCTGTAATATCTTGGATTGCGCTTGCTGACGTTTAGGCTTCCGATGACAAAAACGAACGCGAAATGTTCCACAAGGCTATCCGCCTCAATTATCCATCTCTTGTCAGCAAAACAATAGAACTTGACAATAATCGGTACATACTAGTGACTCGTGGCAGCCTTGTCAAAGGTTCTTCTTTTAATTTTATTCATTATATTGTAAATTCTCAGGTAAAAAACCATGGGAACGTACCTCAAAGTCACATGATCCACCAAAACAGACGCCTTTTTGCCATTTCGTTCTGTACAAGGAGGGAAAAGACACTATGCGTGCACTTCACATCATTGGACGTTTGCTCAAGTAATGTTACTATTCACACTCACGTAGTAGAATTAATTCCAACTCGTTTAATTACGCAGGGACCAAAGACAAGCGAGCTATTACTACTCAAAATGTTTCCATTAAAAAGTAGTCTTGCTTTAGGAATATGTGACTTGTCTAGCATCTCGGCACGGCGTCTGTCGACTCTTAATCCGCGCCTAAACGGAATCAAGCTGGGGAACTTTTCGTACTCTGCAAATTCTATCAAGCTTGGTGACCTCTATGGCAATAGGTTTTCCATAGTGATTCGGTAGGTTATCGCTCTATTTTTTAGAGACTTTTGTCGTCCAAGTTTTGATCAGCTACCTGTGTTCCCATAGGGACGTTGCAGCTGAGGATAGTGTATTGCATAAAGCCATTCAGGATTGGCAAAAACATGGATTTATCAATTACTTCGGTTTACAAAGGTTCGGCCATTGTGCTGAGGCGAGAACATACGATATTGGGAGGTTAGTTACTTTCCAACTTAGTATGAACCACTTTTAATACCACCTAATTAATATTCGCACTTTCTTCCTTTTAGGGAAATAATAAGATGCAATTGGGAGAAGGCCATTGATCTTATCCTTACTCCAACTAGCTTAGGTGGGATTTGAAACCCAATCTCTCACTTCAGTTAATAAGGTTCTGAGTTTTTCAATGAACCAGATGCCTGTTTTAGACCTTCCTGTCGTTCGTCAAATAAAGGAACGCTATCGGAGAACCGGGGATGCCAAGGCTTGCGGTGATGACATGCCCCAGTGCCTTGAGAAGACCCTACTTCTCGGGATTGCCCGCCATGGAAAATCGATCGCTGCATTGCAAACGGTTAGTCTCACATTTTTGCTTTTTCCTGCAATTCAAAATCCAGTGATTATTCCGTCTTCGTTAATGATTAACCCTCTTTTATTTTGAAGGTTTTGATAGACTGTAGTTTGCGCGAATGTCACTGACTTGATGTTTTTAAACACAGTAGGTATATTTGGGTTCGACATTCTTATTCCAGGCGTATCTTCGAGGCTTTTTTGGGCACGTCTTCTGGATCAGCTTCGTTAGTATATTGATAGTTCAAAACTGATATCACTGTGTTGAAGTGATGAACTTTGGACCTACATGGAATATCGAAAATCGCTTGTCTATATGTTTGGAACGTAGAGATCTTGAAAATGGCATCCTTTCTAAGGCTCGTGATTTTCTGGTATTGGGTTCTGGATTGCTAGGTCAGTATTCATTAGTTCATTCTTGTATGAATCCGAAATCGTCAATGCTACCGCGGATTTTCTTTTGTTATCTTTGGTAACTAACTGCGCCAGGAATGTAAATCAAGTAGGCAAATTGATGATTGAGCAATTAATTCCTCTCTTTAATGCAACTACATCTATTCTTTTCTTGAACAGTGGGCGGTGAATTGACTGTGGAAGAATTATTGGAGGTTGCTTTTTTAGCATAGCAGTCTAGCACCCAATCTGTGGTGGTTGCTTGTTCTTTGCTACCCTGTGAGCGAACGTAGTAGGTAGGATATAGCTTATGTTGGAATCAAATTATTTGTTATTTCTGCAACTGTATTAAAGATAGTGTACAAATTGTTCAAATCCAATGAAATCATCATGGTGTATATCAATTATTATTAATGTACCTCCAATTTCACCTGTGCTCTGAATTTTTATGCATGAGATGATACCCACAGCAGGACAATTGGTATTATCTTTCAACCTCCAGCTGCCTAGGAATCTGCGCCAATTGTATGCTCATAGCTACCAGAGCCTTGTGTGGAACAAGATTGCAAGTCGTCGTATTCAGGAGTTGGGCGTCGATGAGGATGAAAGGGCTCTTGTTGGTGACCTCTATTTCTCCGACTGTCCGTCCATCCCAAAAGGTACCCATTTCAATTTCATTGCATAATGTTTCTCGCCGCAGGTTGGACCCATTTTCCAAAGGCTTGCTTGCCTTAACTCATATCAAATATACTTTCCGCATTTCCGTTTGAAATATATAACTGATAACTACGGTAACTTATTAGCGCCTCTATGACAATTCCTAGGTCACCGTATATTGCTTTTATCATGTTGCGACTCAAAATGCTGTCGCTGATCCCCCTGTTGACTTTTGACCCTTTATTTTGGCTTTGGTATTAAGCAGATCCAGCCACTCTGTCTCTCACGAGTTGGTTTGAATTTGCGAGTCTTTTTTGGTGTTTTTTTTTTGCATCTGAAATTTCTTTGGACCTAACTTTCTATTCACTTCTGCTTGATGGTTTGCGTTCCATGTACTTATTACCAATAGAATCACACTGATGTTGATAGGTTCACAAGTTGAAGCCTCCAACCATTGCATTTTGCGGTTTATTTTATCCTACATTATCACTCTAGCTGTTAAGCTTATCTTGGATATTGTTTGCAATGTGTCTCTGGTTCTGCCAATTTTTCCCATACTTTTTTTTCGCGACTCTTAATGGATAGACAAATAGATGGCAAGCATCTTGAAAAGGTCATAAACCTGTCATCTTACCATCCAATAAAGTAGAATTCGTAGAGATTTCTCTTTGTCTCGTCTATCAACATAGGAGATCTGAGCTTGGACCAGGATGCAATGTAGATAGACTGAAATCAGCAGAATGACAGGAGTCATTGGCATCCCATGCGATAGCCAGTCTCCTTGAGTGGGTCATGCTGAGTGCGAGCAGTTCTTTACTATAAGTATCTCTTCTTAACCTCGAAGTTTATTACAAATTGTGTAAGTGTTGGTGGTTTCAACTGAAACGAGGTTATCAAATTTTGTAATGACTCAGGGAATCATAGCTCCCATAGGCATCGTTTTGTTTCGATACTTTTTAACCAAACTAGGGCTGAGAATTGCATTGAATTTTTGATTTCCTATTAATTGTCGATTCGACCAAGATCAGACCTTCCATTTTACCAGGTCTCCGTTCAGTAGACTCCTCCTCTGAGTTGTGCTACGATGAGTCCTTCGCCCAATCCACTGTGGTAGTACCTGTTGCCGATGCTGCAAGTGCTGCTTGTGACGTGGAGGAGGTGGCAGGGGATGGAGGTGGAGAAACGGTGTTTGAGTCATCCAAAGCTCCCACTACCCCTGCAGCTCCCTCGCGTGTCACAGAAGGCGGAGAACGACCTCTCATCTATCAAGTGGTCCTGCCTCTGCCTGGTTATGATGTCGTCTTTCCTGATAACGAAAGTACGTGGTTGTTTAGCGAAGGAGGAAGACATTGTCTTTGCTTTCTCCGTCAGTGGGCGATGGTGCAGTTGTGAGTGTCGTCTTTTTAAGACTTCATAGATTCTGGTCTGTCTGGGTGAGTCGATCTGCTCAAGGCGAGACGGTTTATTTGCATTGTCAGAAAACTACCGAAATGTTATTAGAGCATTTCTAGTGTGTTTAAACTACCCGAATTCCCGCAATACTTCCCCCCAGGGGAGAACTAAATTCTTGTTACCAGTTAACATCGCTGAAGGTACCACATCCAAGTGTTTAGGTCGTATTTGTTGAGGTAAGAGTACACCCCTTATTCATCTGAGTTGTTATTTTCTCAACAAGCAGTGCTTTCTCTCTCATCGTATTACACGATAGTGGGGTGGTAACCATTTTAGGAGGATCGGATGGTAATGCTTGTGTGAATTTTTTGTATCTATTTGGTATATTATTTATTCAACGACTTCCTTCACATGCATATCGTATTTCCTCATCTGTGAGGAATGGCAGCCAGTACCTCCCAAAGTGTATAAGTCCATAATTCGAGTTGATAGTAAAGCCACAATTAGTCCCTTGCGTTTTTTTTGGAGCTATATGAGACATAGGAAAGTAGGGATCGCTCTGGGAGTTTGGTACCATGAACGAAATGAACCTTAAATCTTCTGAGCTGCCTTTAATGCAGTGCCTTCGTAGGTGGCACCGTGATGGTCTCTACTAGTCACATTACTTCAGTTTTCATGATCGCATGCTGATACAGTGATTGCTGACGCCAGAGTCTGTGTGTTATTGTGGTGGTTTTTCATTTGAAAAAAAAAATTAAACTTATGCGGTTTAGTAGTATGTTGATGTTGGTGTGCAGAGTGGAAACACAATTGTCCGTTCATCGTTGTTTAAATAATTTAAGTAACCACCTTGATGGGGTATTTAGGTATTTTTTTAGGTTTATCATGCTAAACACTTCTACCTGGTATGGGTAATTTGAAGCGTGCAGATGAAGTGTCGCTGATCATCAGTCGTAAACGATTGTACAGTTTTGCTTCCAAGTGGAGGTGAGCTAAGGGTTGCAAGGTATGCATGTAAATGTTTACATGGTTAAAGTAGTCCAAGTAGTGCAATGGGGCTCCCATTCCACTACCGTAAGAGCCAAGATCTTTGTGACCAGAGGTCTCGCGTACAGCTGTTTATAATCACCTTTTAAACCTCTATCCTGTAGGCCTCTTCATTTTATTTCTCCATTAGGACGCCTCTTGTACACTTGAAGTGCTCAACACAACCTGGTCTCAACCGTTGTGTCGTATGTTTATAACTGATTCGACAAATTGCAGCGTTGAAAATTACTCCATTTAGGGTACTCGTTTAGATGTGGACCACACTCGTTCTCCGTCCATGAAGAGATGGTTTACTTTGTGCATAAAACGTCTAAGCACCGCTCACTTTTGGGCACAACTAGAAGCAGCAACATCTTTAATTCAATCGTTGGGTCTGAGATTTGGCGTCTAATTTATCTTCGATGATCATGCAGTAGCTCTGTTCACATGCAGTACAGAAAGACTGGTAACATCCTCATCAGTGTGCAAAGCTAAAAATTTGCTATTATTTCTGAACACAAAACGTCACTTGATTTGGCTTTTATATCTTCTACAGTGTGTAGAATTAGCTAATTAACTGGTTTACTGCATACACTTGCATAGAATTAGTTACTGTGGTGTTTGAAGCGGTTACCAGATTCGTGGATATGAAAGTGGCTTAATTGTTTGCATGTGCTAGAGGTGGAACTGTGACAGCATAGGTTCCAGGACAACTTGAAAAAATTCACGCTCGTTCCTTCCAGATAACTGTAAAAGTTATCACTGGTTCACTTCGATTATGCAGTCCATGGAATATAATGCTTTCGTCACTTCTACCTTTCCTGCCCTTATCGATATTTTTGTGGATATTTGCCGTTGTTTTTGGATTTTTCTCCATAGGCGGGAATTGGTACACAGAGATTCTCTGCGAGGACTTGCTGAAAATTGACGACTTCAATCACAAAGTCAAGTGAGTTGCGCTCCCTTCCCCCATGAGTCTATCTGTACGCTTACTTTTGGGCTAACGTTTCCTTTAAATCCACCCACTTTTATTCCCAAACAAACGGGGATGACTCCTTGCAGAGACTTTGCACTGCCTGGATCGTACCGCCACTTGGTCGTGAAACCGGAGGATGTTCACTATGAAATCCGTGAGTACACCAATCCACAAAAACCGCTTGTACAAAGTGACTACGCTCGGATGACTGCCAACGAGCCAGGTTCCACGGAGGAAGGTAGAGTTTTGGGACAATTTTTTTTGCGTCCTTCAATGCATAACTGAACAAACGTTGATCGTGGAATCCTAAATTATTTCATTCCAAAGGTGAAATTTTGCACCATCCTTCTTAGTTTAAACACTCTTGGAGCTTCTTCAGAATCGATTAATGCGAGATTCCATCTTATCAGTTGCTAAACTTCGAATTTTCCAATATCGCTTCTTTTGAGTTCAGTAAATCTTCAGCATTCTCAACCATAACGCAAGTCTTGGAACACGACTATGGGCTTTCCAGTGTTCTACCTCAGAGATTGCGTTTTGAATCGGCTTGTCTATTTACTAGAGCGGGACATAGGTCCGCCCTCTCGCAGAAATTTCGCCGTTTTTCCGCAACTGTTGTGCAACCCCGTTCAAATCATAATGGACGAGTTTTGCTTAATGACGTGTTATTGTTCGCGTTGTAATTTCGACAGCCACTCCAACTGTTCCGTCTGTTTTTCTCTGCTTCAGCCTCTGGTGATGGCGACACTAATGGTAGGCGTGACACCCACTTCTCATTCATGGCTCCTCTCTGTAATGATCATCGCAAATAGTCTTACTTGCTCTCCTGGTATGTTCGCTGCCTGTTTTTGTTTTCAAGAAAAGTGTCGAGCTCTCGTGCTTGAATTCACACTGCCCAAAGCTGCCTACGCTACGATGGCCATCCGCGAGTTGATGAAGGACGTCACTGTGGTACAGTGAGAAGACTGAGGAATTGAGCATTCAAATAAATCGTGCCACCTTTAAGCCTCCATTTTATATGCATAAATCAATTCCTAATGACTCGTTCTTGTGTCTTCTTGCGTGGGAGCCTGCAAGTACTGAAAGTTCCAAAAGTTGGGTGATATCAACAGACGCTGTACCACAGTTATAGACGTCTTGTGTCAGAGAACCTCATTCTGTGCCATAAAGTAGTTTGATACTTCACTTTTCACGCTTAGAAATAGTTATGATTAGAGGGGACTCTGGGTTCATTCGTCGGCGGGAGGTCAATGGTTGGGTCTGTAGAGGTTACTTATATGTAAGACGATTGCGTTAAGTACATTTCGTGGGTCACTGACTGCAAGCATAACATGGGTACGGTCTTTAACTGTCCGCAATATGAATAGGGCGGAGGATCTGGGAGTCTTCAAGTTGGTTTCGCTTAAGCTAGCAGAAGGCAATATCGTGATGCATTGGATGAAATGAGTACGAAGTCTATTGATCACTCTGCCTCCTACTATTGCGTGCCGGTTATTGCCTGTATTCCCTTTACAAATTTGGATGCCGAGACGGCTTGCAATTGATTGACTCGCATAATCAATTGGTTGTTGTTGGGAAGGTCGTGTGGAAAGATTTCAGCTTTGAGGAATTCGGATTGAATAAAGTTTTGTAACTCTTAATCTAGTGGAACTGGTCAAGTGTGTTATCGACTTTAGGATGAAGCGTCCTTTGCGACTCAAAAAGTCAGTGTGATCCCGCTTGTTTTGGACAGTTTTAAAAGTGTTGAGTGTTTTGGTGATCGGAGGGGATGAGTTAATCGAAATGGATTTGTGAAAGCGCACTTGAGGTTTTCCCCAACTGAGGAGGTACCTCGACCTCCCTGATTTATCGTATCCCTTACTTCAGACTAAAGGGCGTTCAGAGCCACCAGTTTAAAAGGGACATGTGGATTCATTTTTACCTCTTCGGGTGCCAAGCCTTAATTTTGCTTACAGGTCATCTGCAACACATCGCTGGGGCTGGGCTCAGCACAGACTCCAAATAGTTTAGACTTGCTTTCTACCAACTAATCGTGGACACATCGCTATCAAACCTCAAAGAGACACCCCACTTTTTAAACTTGGATGAAACCTTATGTATTGTTGTCTGAATGCGAGAAATTTAGCTTCTGTTTGCTACTTTTTGCTAAGCGGTGCTACCAAACGTAAATGGTATGAGATATTCTCGCAGCAGGGAATTGTTAAGTCTTGTTCACTATCATTCAAACAGAGCTCTTCTTTAACGTCTCTCTTGAAGAAATTGGAATCAAATTAGTTATTACCATGCGGCTTTATTTTCCCATCTTGTCTCAACGCTGATTAAGGAAGAATCATGGTCAACTAGTGCACGTCAGTGACGGCTCTTTTTCGAGACAATAGAAGTTCACGTGTCATGAAAATGAGTGAGAATAATTAATTAATTGCTTTTGGCTATGTCCTCATTTTCTATTTTTGGTTATCGCCATCTATGTTGCTCCCAGCCACTCAGTTTCTAAAGCCCTCAATCCCGTGTCACCAATGCTCCACGAGGATCAGGACATTTTTGAAAGCTACCCTATGTGATTAAGACCAGTGTGGAATTGACGCAAACGCCGAGAATAGTTACATCTTCAAGCCTGTATGTCCATATTACTGCCTTTAAGCAAGGTATTTTGAACTGCCTGTAGGGTTGGCAACTACTTTGATGTTTATCTTGCTTGGCCTTTTGGGTAAGCCAAAACCCAAGTACACCTTTTTCTCATTGAACACATGCATTAAACTCCGCTTGATGCTTTCTGCTATCTAATGGGAGGCCTCGAGGCCCAACATCAGTGGTGGCAGAAAGCGAACGAAGAAGGCACACGTATTTCAGGAGAGAGATTCTCTAAAATCTTGACGGTAAAAGGGCTGAGAACGATACCAGCGTTTGACTCAACTCTATTCCTGTGTCCTACATGCAAACCATAAACAGATGAATCGAAGTCGCCCTAAACCATCTAAAGAAATTTCATATCGGAGTTTCTCCTATCGCATCCGAGTATAAATATAATAGATGACATTACATCGGTTTTCCTCCCGTAAGAAACTGTATTTGATCCTGTTTTCTCCTTTAAATATGTTTTAGACTAATGTTCCCTAGTCTATTTTTGGTCACAATTGATAGTCTATAGAAATCTCTTCCTCTACTTCTTGCTGTCCGACCAAACATAATTCCAGACCCAGCTGAGCGACTGAGAGGCCATTTACGTCCATTCAATCTCATGGGAGCCGACGGTTGGCGCGGCTCGTTCTTGGGGGTTTTCTTATAGCACAGTGTAGGTTTCGATGGTTGGTGTAGTGGGCACATAAAGGAAAACACTGAAGAAATTGCTTAGAAGAAAAGAGGAGAAGTTTAGCGCTTCGTTGATCACTTGATCACCTGCAGGTGTGGCAAATGTAATGCTTTGTTCATATGACTACCTGGCTTTTGGTGGTCACTTTTGGGATTGCCTTACCCTCGTACTCGTGGGCTGGACTTCGGGCCATGCTCAGGACATTTGCTCTGTTCTCTTTGGAATACATGTATCCAGTCTCACTTACTGGCTTCTTCAACATTATAGGAAGTCTCGGGACGCTACATATAGTACATTTTTAATGTTTATATGGTGAACACTGAGAGAAAAATTGCTTTCTGAACCGCATATTTAGGAGGTAGCAGCAACCAATAAGGAAGGAGTCAAAAAAAATAATAATCACTCCAAAGCGCGCTATTATAGTGACATATTTCATAAAAGTTAAATTAAGTTTTTATGCTCTTATAAGCATCCAGGTGTGGAGCAAGCCTTAAGAGCACTTAATGCGTTTCTGTGCTAGCAATTATCGTTGGACGGAAAAAAGCAAAGTTTTGGACATATAATAAATAATACAGATCTTCATTTCGTTTAAAAACACTATTTTGCTCTCGAATGAAGTTGAAAATGGACTTTACGCATTACTTTGAACGCACTGTGTCACTTCGGCGGCTACTTGAAGTGAAATGGACGAAGAGTATGATATCGTTATTTTGGGTACTGGGCTAAAGGTAACTGTCCTCTTTTATTTGCTTTTACTGCCTTTGTGTTCTTCTCTTAGGAATGCATTCTGAGCGGGCTTATGTCCGTTTCCGGCAAGAAAGTCCTACATATGGACCGAAACAGTTATTACGGCGGTGAGAGTACTTCCGTCACTCCGCTAGATGAACTGTTCAAGCGCTTCAATAAAACGTGCCCTGGTGAGCAGGTCTACAAACGTCTTCGAGATTGGAATGTTGATCTTATCCCTAAGTTCCTCATGGCCGATGGCAAGCTCGTGAAGCTTCTTCTTCACACTGGCGTAACACGCTATCTTGAGTTCAAGTCCGTTGGAGGTAGCTATGTGTACAAGGGAACCGTTGATTCTGGGAGAATTTGCAAGGTTCCTAGCAATGAACGTGAAGCTCTTTCCTCAGGTACACAAGACTGGTTCTTTTCATCCTTTAGATCTTATGGGTATGTTTGAGAAGCGTCGCTTCAGGAAAATGCTCATATTTACGGATGGTGTTGATGAAAACAAGCCTGACACTTGGGGAGAACTACCCTTGAACAAGTGCACGATGCAGGCCGTATTTGACAAGTTTGGGGTTGATAACAACACTCAGGTGTGTTCCCATTTCGGTTTTCGTTTTATTAATTAACATTGAAAGTAAGATTTTCTTTTTCTTTGAAGTGGTCGACGCATTTGTAGACACTGAATTAGTTAGCTATGAAAACATGTCCATTGTAATAATCAATGGTTTTTTGTCAAAGGATTTCGTTGGTCACGCCATTTGTCTCTATCGGAATGATGATTACAAGCGCAACTTGTGTGCTCTGGATGCCATTAGGCGGATGAAGCTCTATAGTGATTCACTGAGTCGTTACGGTTCTTCTCCCTACCTCTACCCCCTCTATGGGTTGGGCGAACTGCCCCAAGGTTTTGCACGTCTCTCCGCTGTATATGGCGGCACCTACATGTTAAACAAACCATTCGAAGGGTTTGTCATGGAGAACGGCAAGGTTGTTGGTGTAAAATCGGAGGGCGAGGTGGCCAGATGCACCAAGGTCATTTGCGACCCCAGTTATGCGCCTGATCTTGTTCGACAGGTTGGAAAGGTAACTTTTGGATTGCGTTTGTCATCATAGTTCTGTTTTTTACCTTCTGTTTGGTCCCCTGTTTCGTCGACTTCGTTATTGACTTGAATGACTCACGATATGAACATGAGATTTGGCTACAGCTGCCTTTGTGTTTCACATAAATTTTAATTTTTTCACACAGTTGTTTTATCCGTTTAGCATTTACGCTGCTATTATTAGGAACATAAGCGTTCTTGTGTCTTTGCTGATACCTCGTGTCTCGATTTTAGCCTAAGTTCGCATTTTCAGGTTGTGCGTGCCATCTGCATTCTGGATCATCCTATCGATGGTACGAACAACAGTACCTCGTGCCAAATTATTATCCCCCAGAACCAAGTTGGTCGGAAGCACGGTGAGTTGCATTCTCACCTTTTGCAAGGTCGGATGCGCGAGTTTTGTTATTTGTTCGCTGGTCTTCTCAAGCGTCCCTATTATCCCAAAGTTGTGGTTGAGTGATTGACTGAAAAACGGTCCATTTCTGTGTTTTTATGCGGTTTTGTCCTTTATACTTGGTCGCAGTAGGTCCCTCTTTGTGTAATAAACGTACCATTGGCAAAGTTTTGCTGCCCCTTCTATTTAAAAGCATTTTTTTGCTACTTTGCCGTATTTATTTGGTTGATCTCCCGTTTAAAGGTGGAGTTATTTTAAACTTCTTTACGATGCTTCCTCATTTTTATGAAGTTAATAAGTGAATAAATATTTTTAATGGTATAAACATCAACTCAAGTTATTCCTTAAAGCGATTGTAATATGTACAGATACATTCTCGTCCCGGTCGCCTTACACACTTTGTAAAGTAAGGGACTTAATTCCATATTATAAAATGGGAAAACTTGCAAGACTCGTAGTATCTTTATTTTTTCCCTTTTTAAACATCCTGCAATTATTTTCTAAGGTAGTTTCGCTAATTTGGATAGTGCATAAGCTTGCCGAAACAGTATGCAACAAGTGTATTTCGTAAAGCTGCGCCTGATGTGGAGTAAGTTTGTATGGGACCTGCATGGAATTACTGGTTAGTTGCTTTGCATTTACTTGTAATCGTTAACTGAATGTTTGAGCGGTTTTCTTTTAAGTCGTCCGTAAATCGGTCTTCTTTCACGCGCCGCTGGGCTGATCCATGAGCATACTTGGGTTAGGCCTTTATCAGCTTATTCTGGAAATCTCTGTTTCCCGTTTGGTCGATTGTTACTCTACCAATAAAAGAAAAACGTGCATTTAGGATTACAAAGTGATATTCAGTCTTCCAGCAGGGATCCAATTGTTATTCCTACCAGTTGGGAGGGTGGAGGATTTGTCTGCTAATTACTATTGATAAGGTGACTTGCGGAGTTTCGTGGAGTGCAATTTTTTTTTCGGCTTGCTAAGTATGGTGCTTCCTAGCTTCCTCAGATAAGAGAAGCTTTTCTGTTACGCTTGCGTTGGTCAATTCTGAGCTGGGAATCTAATGTGGTTTGCTCAATACTTTTTTCCCTCTGTGAACGGCTACAGAACTTTACATTGCCATTCACCCAGTGTCGTTCCAAAATTGCCTCGCCTTGTGATCTGAGCATTCTGGGCTAATAACTTGTAATTCATTAGTGGGATATTCGCATCCCCCCTTGTTAAAGCAATTTTGCTGCAATTATTCGAACATGACCTGGGTAATAAAGCAGCTATTTGAGGTTATCCTCATACTGCAGATTGGAACTATTGGTTAAGTAATTTGTCATTTCAATGAGTATGACATGATTTGCAAGACCGTTCCTCTCGAATTCGGTTTATTCTGTACAATTTGATTTCTGACACCGCTTCTTTACATGCTCATCGGCTCTACTAGACATCTACGTTTCCTGCGTGTCGCATGACCACAACGTGGCAGCAAAGCCCTTCTTTATCGCCCTTGTTGCCACCACCGTGGAAACCCAACAGCCGGAGCGTGAGTTGGTTCCCGGCATTCGTCTTCTAGGCCACATGATGGACTGTTTCGTCTCCGTTTCAAATCTTTACGAGCCTATCAACGATGGCAAGGCAAATAATGTATGTCCTCTTCAGTCTTACATATTAGCCAAATCCTGCATGAGAGAGAAGCTAACTGTGCCGTAAGGAAACAAAAACGCATTTTGTAGTCGCTTTTAATGAAGTGAAGTGTGCGCTGGCTTCCGTTAGTCTATGTTTATTGCTCTGGTTTAAATTACAGCTTTATTACTTGACTTGGACTTCGTTTTTACCATGAGTCTCTCCTTATCACGTGCCGCTTTTAATGCAGGAAAGGTGAACTTCAGTTGTCAATCATGTAGAGTACTACTGCCTTTTTCGATGTTTCATCCGAATTCGTTTTAATACGATCAAGAAATTCTATGGTCTAATCCTCTAAAGTATAGCTTAACAGGCAGCATTCCCAATTAAAAGTGCCTTACTTCGCTTTGCTCATTAAATTCGCCTTCCAATTTTGATATAACTTGGGTTGGAGAAACCTCACATGTGGTAAAGACATCGACGTCATTCCATATCTTTCAAACCTGCTATCGACAAGTAGCACTTCAGCAGCAACCACGGACGCCTTCCAAAATCTGCCTCAGAATTTCTGCGTCTCATAGGAGTCGCTTTCTCCTTTATTTAACATTGCAGCTTTGCGTTCCACTGATTAAATTATACAATGCTTTAGCTCTCAACGTTCACAAATATTTGGTTTCTCCGTTTGCTCAAGGCACTGTTTGAGTTACTTCTCGCTAGGTGCCAGTCATTGGCACCTGCTAAGGCAGTGACTCATTTGAGATGCATAATTGATGCCTGAAGCTTCACTGTCTTGAGAGCTCAGCCAAATTGAAGAGTTTACTGTTAGTACCTAAAGAGACTTTGCAAGAACTGTCAAGACAAATGTCTATTCTGGAGAACACTGGTATCAATTGTAAAGCCGTAGCAATGCCTTTACAAACTGCTATACGCCAGAGCTGGTATATGTCTGCCAAGTTATATGTGCGCTTGACATGGGGCTAAGTCAACTGCGTCTATAGGTTAGTGTTGTATACCATTAGTTTCTGGTTCTGACTGGCGCTACTATTCGTCGCAATGGTAACTCCAAATTCTTATGCCTCTGTTTGCATGGCAAGAGCAATGCATAATCATCCCAAATGGGTTCCCTGCATAGTTCAGAAAAGCAAGGCAAGATTTCCGATGGTCCGACAACTAAATGCTTGTTTGTTTGGAACTTTACGTCGAATGGAAATTTCAGTGAGGATAATGGTAGGCTCCTACAAGCTGTGCCAACTTACATGGCAATGAAGTATTCAAATCTGTACGCCACCTACCTTCCCTCTCAACAAGGAATCAAGAGATATCAGTAGATTAAAACAAAATAGGTAATGATCTGTAAACTGGTTTGCTCATTCTTTCTAGATTTTCGTATCTTCGAGTTATGACGCCACTACGCACTTTGAGACGACCTGCGACGACGTTCTCGACATCTACGAGCGGATCATGGGCGAGAAATTTGACTTCAGCAAGGTGAAGGCAAACTTGGACGATGAGCAGTAACTACTGCTACCCCTACTCCTGTGTGATATGCTTAGTCCCTATGCTGCTCCTGCTTCCTCTCTCCCTTCTCTTGCTTCACCCCTTCTTTCTCCGTCTTGTTGTTGTTTCTCCAACCTGACCTCCTCTCATTCCATGTGTTTTCTTTTCTCTACTCCCGTGTGTTGTAACCCATTAATCATCATTGTCATTGTATCGTGTAGTTCAAGGACCTCTTTTGGTGGCTACTTTATTTTTCTGTCAAAGTTTATTTTTCTCCCCCTGATGAACTACCTTTCTGTGAGTTTGGTCAATGTGCTCCTATTCTCCTCCTTTCCCTTTCACATGGTCTTTATACTATCGATAATTTTGCTTTCCCAGCACCATCTGCTCAGGACTTTTGGCTTTCTTTTTTCGGACTCGCTGGATTAGCAGTAATTCTGTGGTTTATCCTCTCTCTAATGAGTCGATCAAAATGGGGAAATGTAAGTAATTGGAAGATATTTGCTTCAAACTTAAATCGTCATTTGACGTTGACAGTCTCCTCACAATTGTACTCTTGTGATTGTACTTTATGGAGGTTGTTTGATTTAGGCGTACCGATGGCTAACATGGAACGGTAGCACCACTCTTGACGAACGTGTGTTAGCGCTTGACTTTGGTTGTCTTATCAATCTCCAAACTGTTGTGATTCAAAAACCGTTGTTCGTAGGTATAGGAGAGGTCCTCTCTTCGCTTAACTGGGTGCCTACTTATTCCTGTCGGTAAATTCCTTTGACATCGAAGCTTTTCCGGCATCAGCTAAAGCGGAGGAAGATCTGTATAACCTTCATTCACTAACTTGGGGCTGTTGATCTGCGTCTGGAAGTCTGTATTAGTGGGTAGTCGATTCTATTTTTGCAGTTAGGTTGACGTCGCACATCGTGTCTCGATGCCAAACTCAGCTCTAAAAGTGAAGTCGGTGCGCATCCCTTGTGGGTTCTGCATATCTGCAATTTCATTTTGCGTATCACAGGTGCCTGTGCCGAACAATTGAAGGCCAAAACATCCATTGACATCTGTATTCTGTCTCCAAGCTGTCCAACTTAATGGTATCCATGGCCGAATCGGCACTGATAATTTGGCTTCTTACAAAGAGACTACCACTACCTGCACAGAATCCATATGAATAGATATTAATATTGACAACAAAGCCATACGGATAAGTAGGTACGAACCTCTATCCCCGCCTAACCTGGTTCCCATAATGCTTCCTTAACCAACAACTGGCAAAACGGCGGCCTAAACTCTAGAACCAATAAAAGAGATATCAATGACGTTGCAGTCGGATGTCTCCTCAGCTGCATGCAAATCCAGTGATGAGGATAATTGGATCGTGTGCGGTCTTGATCTTGACGCCCAGTATCGAAGTTTAAACAAAGGGCTACAAACGACAACATTCAAACAAGAGATGAGCCATTCAATGCCACTTGGAGATCCGTTTTGTTACCTCCAGAGGTGGACCTGACCTCCAGATCCTGTCACTAAATCCAATCTCTTCTGGACGTATTAAGCAAGTGTTAAAACAAGTCACTTCACAGCTCGCTCGTGGGCTCATCGGTGATATAAAGCTCTCAGGTGCATAAGTCGAATGCAGTCAAAAGACGGGCACACTCAAGAATCCGGATGTCTCCTTAATAGACGAGATTTTGGGCAGAACCACTCGGGGTAGGCGGTCGCAACCATGGCTGCAGTTGGGTCCTGCTGCCCACCAAGCCATCAAGTGCCGCTCCACTCAACCCGCTGGCGAAAGCCTATATCCCGACCCTTCTAGTTTACAACCCAAAAGCTGTTATTTTGTAATTCTATTTCGACCCAATTACTAGTCCTTTTTGCACCAGCAATCAGGATTTAGATACCATGAGGATGGCAGGAATGCCTCTACTAATTCGACTTTTACCATTCAATGATTTAATGTTTGTTCACGTTCATGACAACGTTTTGATTTGGAAATTGCATTCCTTCGATTCGTGCCGCCCCAAGTTTTTCTTTAAAGATAACTAAATGTCAGGTACCAGAGCATTCAATAGCGCCTAACGCTGAGAGAAGCACTCGCCTTTTCTAAGTTGCCTAATTAACCCTCACTCCGGCTCACCCGTCATCTGCTTCCAAGACGACCTTTAGAACTCAGATCTGCACACACACCAAAACCGTTACGAGTGCTTATAATAGTCCCTCTCATCATGAAAGCTTTCTCTCTCACAACTAAAAGATTGCTTTCAAAGTACAGTGCTTCCAATTAATCCATCTGTTCATCTCCGAAGTCGATTTACAACCGCTTCACGAGGCACGTCCTATCAACCATATCAAACGCGGTTAGCCAAAATTCATTTGAGTAAACCTTTGTAAGAGACAATAAATTAGTAAGGAATTGCATAATATTCAGCAGAATCTATCTTGTCTCAGTACTGGACAGCTCTCCAAAACAACTCGACTTGGTACCGAATCCCGAACAGTCTGCCAACTGTCTAAGTAATATAATTCCTGCCGAAATCGCGACACTACCTACTAGAATGGGCAGTGCCTTTGTTATTTATATGCACTTCAATGGCATCTATCTACTTCTACACCCTGTCCGATGACTTAACGTGCTAATGCAGCGCTGGCACCTACGCCATCGAGAACAAATGTTCGTGGCGCCCCAATGTTCTCATGTTACCTTATTCTTCTATCTAAATTTGAAATAACCGGTAATTAGTAAGGAAAGCCCTCAACTTGATGACGGTGCCTCGTCTCAGTCAAGCTTTCAGTGGCATAACAGTTTGTCTGATGACTAAAGACAGCTTAACTTGCAATGATACAGATGGATTCACCAACAAAAAAAAATTTGCAAAATCTGGACTATACATGGATGAATTCACATTAGCGTAGGTGTGGACAGGAGCCAGTGATCGAAAGAGAGACCTAAGTTAGCGAGGTTCACTAATTTCGAGGGAGTAGTCGCTTCTGAAGGAAGAATGTCTGGACTCAACTGAAAATCTGAACCGAGGGCGGCTTTCAACTCAAAAACGTACGGATGAGTGTGCGGTTCAAAGGATGCTGCAAAACTAATTCGTAGATAACTCCGTTTGCCTTGACATTGAGGAATCAGAAAATGGTACTAAGGGGGAAGAAAAGGCAGTAAATCAACATTAAAACTAAAAGGAGGCCTTGAAAAGGATAATGACCTAACTAACGGGATTTGTCCGACTTAGAGGTTCTGTTCAAGTGCCTCGATCCTTGTTGCATCCCTTACTACTTTCTCCTTATTTTAAGCGCTCATCAACCATTGGCCGAAAATAACGCATGTAATTTAGGTCTGTTTGCACCAAAACCCAAACTAAACACGTTTAGCTCGGTTCAAAATCCACTGCAACTGATTGCTACATGTGTTTCACACTGATATGATGGACAGGTATGTGGGAAATACAAATGAGAAATGCTTTGCTCTGTCTCAATTTGACGATGTACTACCAAATGCCAAAAACCTCAGGCCGCCAATGAAATGAATGGTGCGTACGAAAGCAGATGTGAAAATCTAAAGTGAAACTTAGCAATTACTTGCCATATACCATCCATCCAAAGCCGATGACGAACTTCAATGACCACCAACTGGTTCCGCACCTGTGTTGTTTGTTAAGGACAATCGGCCAACTTGACGAGAACCGCCCTCTGTTTGCAGTACAACATCCACCAAGAGAACAAATGCTACACATCGAATCACATGGTGTGATGAATCGATTCAGATTCGATAAGATAGAGAACAAAACAGGTACACCTATTAACCACTTCACGTTTCTTCCTCCACTCACCCCACACGGCTCCATGCAAGTGAAGTGTGTGACAAAACTCATCATTTCCTCTCCCCTCGAAGCATTCTTCGAAAACAGTTAGACCTAACCAGTGAGGAAACTGTCCTTCAGAAATATTTGTACATCGAGATGGCGAGGATGAAACTAAATCGACGTTGACGGGAAACGCCACCTTATCTCATTTTAAATGCTCTCCACATACTACCGCAGTTGATTTTTACCATCTCCTTTTGGCAGGAGCATTAGACAGCCCTATGTTAAGTAAAAGTAGTAAAAAAAGAAGCTACAATGTACAGAAGTGGCCCCTTCAAGACCGAATGTCTTCGCTGCCCTAAGCGTCGCTGGAGAAGGAAGGTGATCATCTGCAGGCAAATCATCATAAAGTAGTTTGCAAACTTACTTCTCATTGCAAATATCGTGTGAGCTTTCATGACTACTTCATTGCTATTTCAGCTTACCTGTGGACTTCTAACAGGAATCCCGTCTAAGAGAACCGCAAAGGTGGAGAGGTCTGTAAATTATGATACAAGTGAATTGAGCATATCAAATGCATTACACGATGATCCCATGAACTTTGCGTAAATGAACTAACCTAAGAATCCTACCTAACACATTCCAACTACATCGAAAGTTGGCAGGCATGGATCAATCAAGGAAATCCAGCAATGAAATTCAAAGGCTATCGTTCAATAGTGTTAATTTATGATGAGAAAGTAAATAAAACAGTACTTAGACCTCTGTAGGGAAGGACTCCGATGTTCACTAACTTTGTACCAATGTGAATTATTGTTAGATTTGTAGCTCATGGTCCCATTATCATTTTAACTAGCGACCTTTTGAGCAAATTTCAAGGATACCTACCAAGAGTGACTGTGATCTTGCGACGCCCGCATCCCACATTCCAACCAATCACCCTACCGACCTCGAACAATGTGGGGCTGAAGAGAACAGATGAATTCCTTCGTCTGTGGAGAAAAATCAACGAGGCTATATTCCACTGCTGTTCTCACTTCCAAATTAGCCCAAAAAATCTTAACAGAGGCTGTATCTCACCGCTGCTCTCATTTCCAAATTACCTTAAAAATCTTAAGAGAAAAGGCTCAACTCTTATTTCGAAAACCTCACACTCGAAAACTTAAATGCTCTCCTATTGCCAGCGCTCAGAAGCTAAGGAACCATGATGAAAAAAAATTACGGCTCGTGCCTCTTAAATCTTGCTAAAACTACTTTCAAAAACAACATTACAGGACGTTAGAGCATTTTGGCATTAACAATGCAAATTGAACAAACCTCGTTCGCGAAAGGGAAGCAGCAGGACCAGTGGGTGATTCTGAACGTTTTGTTCGCAGTCCCTTCCCCCTAAGTAGGAGGATGGTCGACATCTGCAGACACTTGTGCCGAAACTGTTACAGGCATGGCTTGCCAGCCTGAACACACACTTAAACAACAATGCTAACCAATCGTTGCTAGAGTAGGATAGAGAGCTGATTGGCTCTTATAATGGATTGGACTTCACCCGTTCACATGCTAGCTTGGGTTGGTTACCTCACGTGCTATGGCTTTGGGCTGGCGCGAGAGCACCGGTGCATTCACCTGGAGTTCCGCTTTATTGTCAGTTTTTGCTACAAGTGTTGGGGTGCATTATGCTGAGTTTCAGCAGCTCAGAACAGGTCACATTTTGCAAATCCTAATGGCGCTCAAACGAAGGAACCGTCTTCGATTCTCTCTATAATGCAACAGGTTTTTTGCTACACTCGTTTCGTATTTTAGCATTTCTTTCAAAAGTGAACATTTAAGGGATTGATTTGTCAGATAAAGAAGCTTCAGCTCGAAATAAGTCTGTTGTTCGAACCTCCAAGTTGGTTGTCCTATTTCTGATTAGTTTATGTGGCAAATATGTTTTGTTCTCCATCCTCATAGTGTCATGGGATGACGGTGAGTTCCTGCAAAAAATTGGGACTGGGCTTCAGATTTAAACAGAACTTGGGCTTAGACAATCGTTGGCCATAGGAGTGGGGCCATATCATCACCACATGCACCAAAGGAGTTCGATGGGGTGAACGGTATTGCTGGCTGGAGTTGGGATAGTTTCGTTTTTTTATCTATCTCAATGCTAAGAAACTACTCATTGTGGATGTTTTGTGCACGCAGTAGATCTTTTTCACGTCTTCTAATTCTTTACATTGATCCGGAGAGAGGTAACAGCCTAAAGAGTGGACAGACTACAGCTACGCACTTAAGTTTACACACACGCGAGCCGCAATGATTAAAGTTTTCCTGCACAAATCTGTCGTGCTAACATGCTGCATGATGTGCTTCATTTGAGCTCGGGCTGACATTTCCATCACCTTTTCAATCGGTCGAGACCTTCGAAGGAGATACTCTTAATGGTGTTTTCGCTTCAAGAGGAATGCTTTTATCCTGTTATGTTTTTGCTCTCGCAAGCCCTCAGGCAACAAATGTGCAATGTATGCTCTTTAGCAGTTCGCAATTGACGATTTATCCCTAAAAATTGTCTGCTACAGAACGTTTGGTTAAGTTTCGAACCGTTACGAAGTGTGGTGGTTGAGCGTTCAGTCCTTTGTTTTAGTGACACTTCTTGGCTCACCGTCGTCGTACCTTCGCCGGAGAGAAGGATCTCTAGCGCATGCCACTAGCCTTGGGTCAAAATTCATCTTGATGATGAGCATTCTACTCGGGTATTCTGTCTTCGTTTGTTTCCATGCAAATTTTGAAGTGCATCATTGATGGCAGCAGAAAGAGAACTCGTCACGATTTCCACCGCTGAGTGGTAAGCCTTAGTTGGGTGTAAGAACTCCCGGATTCCCCAAATATGCTGCTAGACTGAGGCGACGCTGATTGCCAACCGCCCAAAAACAGTTTCGTTGCAGGGTCGACTACCGCACCTGCATGAACTACCGCAGATAATCATGGTCGAACAATATCGAAATGCAGTTATAAAGTTAGGGGAAGTAGCAACGAAAATCCATTTCTACGGGGCTAAAGTCACTTTCCTTATGACTAATGACTGCAATTCGCTTCCCCATTAATGTATTCTCATGCAGGGCAACGTTCCAAATCCAGCAGATTTACTAAGAGAAATCAGCGAAGTTACGATCACGATGGTCGAATGGTGGATGTTTTCCTTGCAGGATCGACTGCACCGTGGTGGCCGAGGCTGTGAAATTGCTTTATAACCTCACGATTCCGGGCTGTTAATAGCTCCCACTCCTTTTCCACCTAAGAGAGGTCTCAAGGCACTACATCGTAACAATCGAATTTTCGCTTGAAGAAATATAAGACTTAAGAGCAGACTAGTCGTTCTAATACGGTGAAAGCATGGTAGGTCAAGAGTGCACAACCCTAATGATGCACAAGTCCCACTTATCATCCAACATGTTTTTGGGTCTTCTTCAATGTAAATACAAGTGCAAAGACGCCAATACCGGTGACGGAAGAATCAAGTCGCTACAATGCCCTAATTCCACTTCTAAAAGCTACAGTCACAGAGTTTTCGAAGTGTCAAAAGGTAAATAATTTGATTTAGAAGTGGAAGAGTCGGTAAGTCATCGCGCCCCTCCAAAATTCTTGTGAATATAATCGGCACTGAAAAGGCCCATCGACCTGTTTGGTGATTATAAATTTGTGAAGCTCATTCAATCCTAAAAGCGATGTGCGCATTTGGAGTGGAAGTAATGAACAAGTCGTCGACTTCTGACCAACTCTATGGCTTTTCAGATACAAAGGCCGCACTCTTTAATAGTTATTGTTGCTTACCTGAACAAATGTGGTAGTGAGAAGTTTGATATACTGATAAATCTACTTCTACTCTATCACGTCCTCAGAAGGGCGAAAACTTTTATTCAGAAAAGAGATTACATAACTGCCTACTAAGTGTATGAAACCTATTAGACTGCATGAGAATCTCAATACCTTCCACTGTTCTTGGGAGAATTAAGTTAGATGATCCTGTAAAAGGTCTCTATTGCTCTTGCGAAGTTACGGAAATCAACTTTATCATAAATATGATTACTAATACAAGATATTTCACAGTGGCTAAAAGCATGTCAATGTAGATCTACTTGTTAATCACAGGATACGGAAATTAAAGTAAGATAATAGAAGGGAAGAACATTTAATACGCCTTTGCTGTTGAGACATGCAAGTGAATGATTGCAACGCCTCTTCCACTCTCTTTTCTCTATTGCCGCCCAGAGGAATTTTGCGGTTGCAATTTGAGATTGGAGAAATCGGTCTCCAGCGATCTAGAAGGGACAGGAAAACAATCATGTCTCCAGGTTCCTAGACAATTCGCAAGCATTACCAAACGGTGTAAACTAGCAACTTAGCACGATTAATTTGGCGGTTTTATGAAGTGAAAAACTAATACAGCTTAAGAAATACCATTCTGAGGTCAGTCAACTCTCGTATTTCACACTCCGCATACATGTTATCGCTCTCGACTTCTATTGCATGACTCATTAGAGCGATTTCAAATCAACACTCATCCAAAGCATTAAAAATTGCTACTCGCTTTATTTAAGTAGTGTAACGCGGTTAACTTAAATTGTTTTTAATATTCCAGAAGGATTTACATGTTGCTAAAGTAGGTTCTCCCTGTGCTGATGGTGCAAAGCATTAGTGTTTTAATTTCCCCATACTTCGGAACACCCACATCATGTAGCAGGTTGAATTCATTTCAAACCGCTTTGGCACATCCCACTCTTTTAACTTGAATCTGATTATGCATTTAAAATAAACGTATCATTCTTATGACTAATTATTTGCACAAAATATCATCATCAGATCCTAGCCAATGTACTAATCACGCTAACGTGAGGTCAGATAAAGTTGGGGGAACACAGTCGGTGATAAAATAATGGCATTTTCTTTTGTTCCGTGCACCCTGCCACAACTTGGCTCCCATGGTGGTAGTGTAAGATGCTTTGCGCAGCATCTGCGGTTCAGTCTCCAGCCCTTTACGCACACCCATAGTGAAGAAACTCCCCGACTCTTGAGGCATCAAACCACTTCGAAGTTGGTCTAAGCGATACAACGGTGGCAGCATTGGCAGCTCTATTCCAGAAACAGACGTCAGAGATTTGGGCGATTTGTTGCTATTCCTGAACGGCACCGGAGAGGGACACGACTTTTACACGTTTAGGTGGATTTGGAGTCCACCCGATCGCATGACCTGCCGCGAACCGCATTTTGGAACAAGGCCTACACCTGACCAGATTGCATTTTGTGTTAAAAAAATGGATTACACTAGGCCTGTAGGCGGTAAACAATAAAACAGAAGGCTCAGGGCATCCCAGTTAGGTGAACTAGAAAGAATGGAACACAGCAAGAAATAACTCCGAGAGACTAAAGTTTTGCTGTCTGATGAATAATTCTGCGAACAACAAGGCAAATGAGAATTGTTGCCTTCTTAGAACACAGATTCCAAAAGAAGGGGTTTGAATATCATAAAATTGCTCAGAGCCCTTCTCCTTATGGTTTTTAACCTTTCTTGAACCTTGATCGCCTACCCCCTAATTACCGTCGCGGCGGTTGTCGCGGCTAGGTAACGCCGAGAGGAAAGTTGGGCCGGCCTGGACATATACATTCAATGACCTTTTACGGCCGCCGTATGGCGGCTTGAGGTGATGTAGTGGCACAACTTTCACCTGACTGAAGCGATTGATTAATGAATAATGTGTCGGATTTAAATCAACTCGTTGCACCATAAATAAAGCTGCCAGCACAAAGAATAGGATTCCGGACTTTGTTGCTTTTTGTTTTAAGGTGTAACGAAATCAAAGGCTTTTGGAACAGCTTTATCGAGGTTGAATGAGATGTGGTAAATAAAGATTCTGTGAAATTCATGAGTCAACCAGTGATAAATTTACCAACTCACTTGGATATTGTAAGCTTTAAATCTTTTCCGGCAGATTTGATGCTTTCTGTGGCCTGCAAGTGACTCAATGTCCGGGTGTCCTGTCCATTAATCTCATGAATCTCGTCGCCACAATGCAGCTGACCTTCTGCTGGACTACCAGGTTGCGTCTAAACAATCATAGAAAATGGTTTAGAACGTTCCATAAATCACCAGTGAAACTTGCTGATTGGCACTTTTAACTCCTACAACCGCATTCATCAGTCTGAGCAACGAAAATACCAAGGCTTGACAAAGGGTGCTGAGATTAGCCGACACTTATGAAGTGTGTCTGAACTCTGGACATTGGTAGTCGTTTGTGACTTGGTCATGGGTTTTACCAAGCAACCATAATGGCAACCTCCTTTTTCAAAAAAAGTCGAAAATGTTAGCTAAGTAAATGGATGGATGGATGGATGGTTGGATGGATGGATGGATGGATCACGGAGAGCGCGACCTCGCAGGATGGATGGACAAACTAGAATTCGTGCGTGCGTATGTGTGAGTGCGTAGGTGCATCCGCACTCTAAACCAATCATCTGCCGCTCACCTCACTTAGCCTCACACTCTCGCTCTCGCTCCTCGCCTACCCTTCCTGCATGCCTAAGGCTTACGCGCCTGTCACTTCGCCCTAGCCATGGGCGCAAGCACACAAGCACATCGGGTTATCGATTAACCAATGGTTTAGTCATGTAGCGATGTGATTGGCTGCCGCGCTGCAGATGCACGTGTGGTGCGCGTACGTACGCGCAGTCAGAGGCATGTTAGCGTGTGCGTAGTCATGTAGGTAGGTAGGTAGGCAGGCAGGCACGCAGTAAGCGAAGAGAGAAGGATGCAAGCACAACCGCATGTGGGAATTGGGGCCAGCGGTAGCACTGGCGGCAACGGCGATAACAGCAACAGTAATAATAATGGGGCTCTAATTGCTCTGCAAACAGCTGCAACAGCAGTATTTCCTCAAGCCTCACAAGTCCCGTTTGATCCAAAAATGGGTATCCCTCAGTCGCAGGGCTTCGTGACGTCGGTGTCACACTTCAATCAGCCCTCAATGGTTCCTTCCACCTGCACGGGTCTCCCAATTACCCAACTCAGTTTGGCTGAAATGGAGTCCATTATTTCCCCACTGACCAGACGTCGCTCGGAGGGCTTTGTACAGCAAGAGGTGAAGTTAATGATCAAGGAAATCGAGAAACGACGCCACATTCTTCTTTCCATGTCTCCGGTGCATAACAGGCTGAAGAAGAGAGCTTGGGAGGAAGTGGCTAACAGCATGGCCCTTAAGCGCCCTCACGAACCGAGACGAACTGGAGAACAGGTAAGATGGAATTGAATCCTAATTTTTACTTTATTTTTTTAACTTGCAAACGCGACATCACAAATTCAACTTTGCATCTGTCTAGAGGACCCGTTTCTGACGTCGGTACTACAAATATCGCATCAGAATTTAGTCGAATTTACGGAAAGCAGTTGAGGCTTGTTCTTTTAAGCTACTTGACCTGTTGTAACTGTTCATTTGTCTCATTTAAAGATAAAGAAGAAGTGGGAGAACATCGTATCTAAGACGAAGAAGAAGATTCGAGAGGGACAAGTGACACCAGAGTTGGACTGGAGTGAAACGAACAGTATGGTGATGCAGTTTTTGGCTGCAGCCACACAGGAGATGCGTGAGCGTCAGCAGCAGACGGCCCTCTACGGGAATGCAGGTCAGGGCTACGACGAGGCACCGACGTTGCCCACCCAATTGCCCCTTCACACTGCCTCATACCCCCCCTCCACCACTGCTTCTTTCGTTGCCTCTGTCGCCCCTCCACCTCGCTTCCCTTCGGTCAATCCTAACACCACTACTACTGTTCCTACCGCTAACAATAACGACAGCAGTACAAATGGTGACGTTTCGGTAGGTAGGAAGGTGACCTCTTATCGACTGTCAGAACTTTGAGCTTGAGTAATGACCTTTTTCCTTCGATTAGATGGCGGAGCACAAGTGCATGAACAGCATGGGGACGCTATTTCCAGAGGAAGGGACGGATGGTGGCGTGAACCAATCGGCGCGGGATGAAACTGTTCCTGAGGGGGGATCTCTGGTGTGCAAAGTAGAGGAGAGGGAGACAGATAGGAGAGGAGCGGTGATAAACCCAAACTCTGTGCCTGCTGGCCCCGTTACCGTTTCTACACCGATCATCGGTGACACTGATGAGGATGACGGGGATGATGATGACGATGACGATTGTGCTTCTGATAGCGACACCAAAGCCTTTTCCAGCTCGTGGGTTCCAATTTCCCTTCTATTTCAATCCTTCACTATTAAATTAGAACGTAGATAGAATTGTTACTTAAAATAATACAGTAGGGCGTTGTTTATGGCCAATCTTTAGCGAGTTTACATTTCTAGTTCGATAGGTGGTTCTTAATCTTGATGTACATTATAAGTTACTCTAGATGCTCTTTTCCTTCCAGCCTAGTTGAACGGAACAGAGGTGCTACGGAGTCACGTCGCCGTCATCAAAAACGGGCATTTGAGGCTGAATTGTTGCAACAGGCTCGCATGGAACACGCTCTCCGCATGGAGATCCTCCAGATGAAACGGCGCTTTTGGCAACTTAAAACTGAGGCTCTCCTCCAAAAAGAAAATCATCAACGATCCACCGGACCTTCGTAATCAATCTTTCCTCCTCGTTTCGTTCAGGGAATGTTTATGTGTGATTAAAACATTTGTTGGCTTAATAGCGTATACACTTTTTCATGACAAGTTAACTGTGTTTTCTTGACTTATTTGGAGTCCGGTTGAAAATGAATCCAAGGGGTACAATCGAGAATGAAACTTACACATGGAGTTATCAAGATTCATATCAGATCATGAAAATTAATTGACACCACTCAATTGGTAGACACTTATTCCTTTTAAAAATGTTAGCACTTGTTGTGATTTTACGCTACCTAGCTATATTCGAAAAGAGGAGTGGGTTGGGAGCTGAGATTTGTCGTAGGGAACGCTCCGTATTAGTTTTTCTGAGCCTGCATGTATAAATGTACCTCGAAGGGAACATGAATTGGGTTTCTTTCGAAGCCTTCTCAAGATGAACTAGGTGGACCAGTCAAAGGTGGTCTCTAAATGCGTTTATGCTAACCCCAGGTGGCTATCCTGCAATTGCATTCTGTCAGACACTATTTTTGACACGGAAAAATGCGCATTCACTGCTTATTTGGAATGCAATGAAGCTCCAGACCTTGGCCTTTCAAGCAAGGCATAACAAACTATTTAAATGGAAAAAAATGTTGATTACAGGAGTCTAGTAGGACAATGTTCAAGTCCTATTAAAAATTAGGACTTACTTTTAGTGCCGTGTTAGCAGTAAAACAAAAATTTAGTGAATTTCTACTTGCTAGGGGCATTTGACCAATCAGAGGTGGAGTGACTTGTCGATTTTGTTCACGATGGTGTTGTATACGTAGGGGAATTTTCCTTCCAAGGCGATATTTATCACTGTCGTGGTTCAGGCATACCGGCTAGCAGGCGAGGTTCGGTACAAACCCCGACTGTCACATCAGCTATGTGGCGTGGTGCAAACTGTCAACTAACTGTAGTCGTGGTGAATCTCTACACTAGCGCTAATGGAGACCAATGGCTTAGGAAATACGACGGAAAAAGAAGGCGCAACACGTGCCACTAACAACAGGGTTATGGTGCTAATGACACAATTGTGACTTTTGCTAAGGAAATGAGCAAGAGAGGTAAAATCACTAAACTTTAGTTAACAAACCCTTCACTACATCCTCAGATGATAGACAAGGAGAGGATGGCGTCATGCTGAGAATGCAAACGTGTTTGCAGTTTGAAAAAAAAAATCATAAAAACGAGTAAAGTCAATACGTGCCATGTTGTCAACAGTCACAATACTCTTAAATAGTAGGCTACGCCACTAGAGCGTTCTGCTAGGTCTCCGATTCCATTAGTGCTACCACAAGAAGACGCACCGCCGTTGAGGGGTTGCGTGCAAGTCGGCGTTGAGGATCCAGTCATTTCAGGCCACTTGAGCATCGGATTACTTCAGACCGAATGAGCACACAGTAATTTGGGCTAAAGATGCTTGACAAGACGTAAGGAATTTGAACAATTCGTGATTTATGTAACAGAGATGGCTTAAATGGCTTGATGAAGATGCAGCCAACATGATCACACAAACGCAACAAAACGTAGGTATTTCGGTTTCAAAAATGGGTACACGAAATGCTAAATACGGTTTGTAGATATTCAAGGGAGCAGAGACGAGTCAAAGCATCACTTTAAAATGCTTGACTTCTCTTCGGTTGTGCCAATTTATCGCCAGTTGGCCATTCACCGAGAAGAAGGGATTTCGTGGTGCCACTAACAGATTCGAAAACGCAAGATGGAAATCATCTGGTCAGAAAGATGGTGGAAACGAACTTTGGTACAGTAAATGGTAGAGCTAGTCAAACACATTAATTCAAGGCTAACGGTAAAGTGCATCCCTTTACCTTGCGATGGAGAGGACTATTTCCTCGCTAACTAGCTCCTCAAACCATCAAACATGTCATACCATATCCTGTCATGATGCGTTGTCATGACAGATCAAATTACATTTGTGATACCTAGAGGAGAGAGAGGAGTGGGATGGGATGATGAGGTGGACTGCGACAGCAACCGCTAGCTCACCTCATCCTCCCCCATTCACAAACACCTCTTCATGCAATTGTTACCACCTCTTTCTGGCACTAACAATAAGCAGTCAACTGACACACAGAAGCGAAGTAGAACAAAAGTATGGGAACAGAAGAAGGGCGAGAAACGAAGGGACCATGTTTTGTAAAAGTGAAATTCCTTACTTTTGGTGCCTTAAATGCCTTTAGAAAAGAATGGTTGTCTTTGCAGGCAAATATTTCGAGGTGCCTTGTGCACTTATTCACTCATCAATGCAAAACTCTTGCCACCTCTTATGACCACCTCATGGATGGAAGGGAATGGAGGTATGCGATAACATTAATGCGACCTTTTCACCTCCTGGTATGCTGACATACTGACATTCAACACCGCCGGATGACACCATAAGAAGTGCAACTCCTATACCAACTGGAACTTCTTATGAATACTTGCATAGCGCAAGGAATGGACTAACTCGACTGTAGCTTAAACAAGGGGGCAATCAAAGGTGGAACTTCATTTGTTTCTTCTTGGGCCATTCCTACTTTGAACCGCGAAATTATGACACCTTTGAACAAACAAAGCTGGCGGTATTTTAATTAAAGTCTGAACAAGCGATTACATTGTTCTCAAGAGGGAGGAGGACACATTTGTAAGCATTTAAAGTACTCGAGACGCTTAAAGAGCTTTTACCCACGAGAGCACATCGAGACGACACGACTGTTTCAATACAGTCTGCTTAAAGCCGTCTTGTTCGATCAGCAGGGTTTAGCTTCCCTGAAACTTTGGTTCCCAAAGTTGTCGGCTGGAAGTTGAAGGCATCACTGTCAAACATGATTCCGAAGGTATCTGACACAAGTGACACAAATGTCTTGTATTGCCAGCACAAAAGGAAACAATACCATTGTTGTCCATTGACCGGATCGGCAAGTAGATGGGCTAGTCCGGACTGAGCCAATCTGCGCGTGAAAGACGTCTCCATTATTAAATTGAGGTAAGCAGTTTTAAAGTTTCAAGCTGTTTCTGGTCTGATTCGACATAAACGCAGAGGGCATGTAGATGAAGCGTCTTTCCTGAAATCGTATTTAGGGGACATGTATGCTTTAATCTCGACCATTGACAGAGAATTGTCTAGGACGAGCCAAAGGCCAGAAGTTTTGAGCAGCGCCATTTGTGCAAGCAAGATGCAACAAATGCCTGATTTTTGGCAGTTCCTTAACTTCTCACATCAGTTACTCAACCAAACCAGCTTTTGTCCTATCGGCGCTCGGCACTTAAAGTTAATCTGTTTCAACCTTTTGAGCAAGGGATGAACAGGAAGAAATTTGTTCAATCAACTTCTTTATCACCTCCCGCATAAGCACTTAACCCTTCATCAACTCCAAGCAGAAGTAAAAGTACGCGCTTTGAGGTGTTACATGGGAAAGGACAGCTTGGAAGTGATTGCAATGGTGCACTGCAAGAGCACTTCTGATGGCAGGAGAAGATTTATTAAAATTTTGATCTCAGCCAAGTGGACAGTTTCAACAAACTAAGAGTCACATAGGGTGTGTCAGTCGCAAAAAATTTCATCCTTCTAAATTTTGTTGCTTGCCATTAAATTCACCTGCCTTTCCATTCAGGTATTTTGTAACTGTTTGGAACCAAAAACCGTTCTCCAACTCCGAATAGCCATTTGGTGCATTGGCTATCATGCCCGCATGAAATGTTGGAGTCCCCATCGGAGCTCACCTCTTTAATTTCATCTGAACTGGAAAGTCGGGATTACACGATATGAAGGACTTTGTCAACTACTTAATTACTGGAGTTAAAGATTCATTGAGTAGGAGAGACAGACCCCAACTCCCGTCGAGTCCCATGGGCGCATTGGACGCAAGGTGTGAATTAAAGATTCCAAGGAGATGTGCATATCTACAAACAACGGTGTCTCCCACCCTCTCTGCGGTGACACAGTCGTTTGGCTACGCCATCGGGTAAATTCAAACAGGAGCTGAGGTCACAAATGCTGACTCGAGCATCTCCATTCTCGGAGAGTACACAAGAGACGTTTAGCTGGCAGAAAGTGCTCTTTTAATTTCAATTCTATAACATTTAGGTCAATTTCAACACCTCCATACCGGTAAAAGTAGTCAAGTTGTTAAATTTGAGTCAGTGCAAATAAAGCCATAGATAAATTTATGGCTTTCTTGTAAAGTCGCGAAGCGCTTTGCTTTGTTTTTGCCCATAAAACTAATTAAGGCGGTGTAAAAAGTGCGAAAGATTGTGCCTGAATCGAAGTGTCGTCGGACCACCAGGAGCTGGTGACTACAGAGGCGATGTGGTCAAGTTAAAGGACCCACTTTTAACTACAACTGAGGATTTCCTGAATTTTAACACAGAGATAAATCCCATTCCAAGATTTGGTTTATTTAACAAAGCCCTCAATGCTAAGCAATTACTTACCTTGAGAGAGATTTTCACCCAACGCGTTTGGAACCTCGATTAGTGAGTGAAAGTTGTGAAAAGATTAATGCACACCTTTGTTAAGGAAATAGTGCAAAAAAGTTCAGTGTATTTGAAGCGCCTTAGAATGGCTAAAGTAATTTGCAACTAAGGAAGACCAACGTTTGGTAACTAAAATTCTGTCTAGATTCCTACAGGGGAAGGTGAAAGGAAAATACGAGACTAACGTGCCACAGTCAGTGCTGAAAAACACAACCGTTCTTTGGAGTTTGGGGAGATAAATGGATGCTTTTGGCTCAGTAATGCCATCAGAATCATAAGGTATAAACGAATGGTCTTGCGGCTGCAACGGCTAGGCCGATGGCGTCGAGGCAGGAAGTAATTGTCCACCATCAACGGCGCCGAACGAAGAAATGTGATGAGTGTAAAAAAGTCTTTGTCGGCCTAAATGCTGGCAGGTCTTCATCATAAAGTTTTATTCCCACTCGGCAATAAGAAAAGTCTACTGGGCGCATCTCACTCGAGGGGAAGGCGGTTGTGGCGTTCGGGGATACTTTCAGATAAGTGCTACTAAAGGATGCGACTTCCATGGAGAACATCATCGTAGTAGAAGATGATCTAGCCTTGAGCACCGTGCCTTAGCTAAAATTACCTCGAGGAAGGCACAACGATCAGGCATTTTCGACCGACTTCGCAAGGGTGTGCCATCACAACACCTTCGGCAAACCGTAGCTTGAATGAGAATTTGTTAGGTGCGAACAACTGGATGAGAAGACCACTCAGAAAGGGAACGTGGTTATACAGCGGTCTGATTTCCCTTATCCATACCACTTCCTCTGCCTTCAGGAAATTAAGAAACCAACTTATTTTATTTTGAAGTTTGCTTACACTAATTTTACGGATTTAAGGGAAAGCAACGCTTACTACAGCACTTTTGTCTTTTAGAAGCAATGCTTCTTCCCCGATCTCACGTCGCAGTCTTATGCTATTCTTAGCGGTAAACTCCCAACACCACGGAGCAACCGGAAACGGTATAGAGGCGTCAAAAGAGTAACTGATCTCGTAGTGTAAATAAATAATCTTTGCAAACAAACAAATCGAGCACCTTCATTCGGTATGCTCGCTATCAGCCTTGAAGGAGAACCGATCCTCACATTTTGGGCATGTTCGCCTCCCTGAAGGTGATACCAACGTCAACTAAAGTGCCACTTAAGGGGAAAACTAACCACAGACTAAAAATAAGACTGTTCCGGCCTCACTCAATCGTTTCCAACCGCACCAGTCTGTTTGTAGCTCGCTGTGGTGCATTCATAAGCAAAAAACAGGTCTTTTTATGCGTATTGAGCACAAAGCTGAAAAATAAGAGTTTCACCAACTGAGAAGAATCGTAAATCATGCAGCTTTGATAAAGAAGTCGACTAAATTTATCTTTGCTCTTGTGCTTTGTCTCCACGGTGTATAAAGCAGTTGTGACATTTAACCCTTCGTGAATGGTAAGCCAAAAATGGAAAGTTTTTTTGCCATATTTGTTACACAAGATGACATTATGACACTTAAGCTAATGCTTTTAGGATTCAGTTTGGCCAGTAACCAAGTCAGTAGCCGGTAAGCTGAGTTACACCATTCGCCCAGACAAGAGGAAGCGGATGCCTGCAACGCCTTGTAGGCCAACTAACGGACGCTTGATAAATCACGGTGGAAAATGCGAATTTAGGCAGGTAATTTCTGGAGGCATGCAATTGCAGAATCTGGGGCGCAAAGCGACAGATTGTATGAGGCAATGAAATAAAGTAAAGGAAAATGCCACCTTCTAGGTAAGAGGCAGCAGTCGCAATGACACCAACGTCCCTACGGAAAAGCCCCATGCCTCCACCTTTTCCTTCGTCCCTATGAGTATCACATGATGAATAGGTGAGATTCGGTCCAAAGGTGAGTGGAGAACAGCAACTTTCTCAGATGGAAGTGGGAGATGTGAACATATTAGTTCTGAAACATATGCTGCCTACTTCTGGAGGTTTTGACAATTTTTTTTTTAAATAAAACAAGCAGTTCCATCAAGAGACCGAATTTGATGCCTTTTGGAGAACTAGCATTACAACGAAAAAAAGCCACCACTTTCATTTACAATAGGTAGTAAGATCGATGGGAAATAAAAATAAAATGCATCTTTTGGATTCCAGTTTCCATTTTGGTTAATTTCAACTGCTTTCCTCTCACAGCGAGAACACTGGTGCTTAGGTCAAATGCTATCTGTTCTTATTGGTACACTACAAATTTATGGGCAGGATTTGGTAGAGGTGCAAAGCTTTTTCCGACCCACCTCCGCCGCCCTCAGACATCCACATAAATGCCATTCCAGAACCAGAGGGCTCATATTGCTTCACCCTAATTTATGCTCCTTGATAACATAAATTCTGTTCTGTGAATCGAGTGGAAACAAAAGGCAAGTTGAAACCAGTCACGCAAAGTGTGAAGGCACCTCTTTCCTCCCCATAAGAGAGAATTAGAGGAAATGGGCTACCATTTTACTAAGGAGGTGTATTAGTGGGCACAGAACTTTGGCATCTAAATGATCACTTCACAACTCTGAACTTTTTTGCTTCGCGGATTTACTTAGTGACCTCACAGATGACTTAACAAAATTCCTTCTTAACTCAGCCTAAAGCTCCACTTTACGATGCTTTTATTCGCTCCTCGGAGGAAAAAAAGTGGCTGAAATAAAAGAGGACGAAGGTTCCAAGATGCCTACTCAAAAGAAAGACTGACATGTTAATCCAAAAGGAAACGAACTACAATGATTCCTTTTGGGTTCATTTACAGAAGAAAGTATAATGTTGAAGAAAACACGAGAAGAGGTCGGGTTAGAGAACCACTTTAAAGGTTCGCCTGTGTTAATTTTCGACCGCATGAAGTCACATGCAGCTCCAGAGACAAAAGCAGTCGAACGATCCGCTTTAAGCCCAAAATATTATGAGTTGCTTTCCTCTACACCACACACAAGCCGGCGTTCATAAAATGTGAAATCCAAAAATGCAGTAAATAACCGTCAAAACCGAGAGCTGTATCATTTCCGGTCACGATTATGGCCGATTTGTGTACACACCACATCCGGTGTCCACATAGCAGCAAAAAGCGACGCAAAAAGAATACATACCTTTTACCATTAAAGATGTGAAGTGCAATTTAAAAACGAGCTAATAGGAACCAAGTTGGAGCACTTCTAATGAAAGTTGCACCTGTTAATTTCTAAATTGTTTCAATTACATGATTTTGCTATGAACGTAAAAAGTGAACTCATTTAATTAGCAACGTAATGAAATCACACATACCTTTTTAACCGTGAGTTGAAGGTTATAGTCCTGGCCACCTTGAATCCGGAAGCCCCAAGGCTTATCCAACTGACTCCGAGTAAGCACCACTGTCTGCATTGTATCAAAACTGTTGGTGCGTCCGTGCATCTTTGACCCCATGTGAGTGTTGGAGGAGGGGGCGTTAGAGGTGGAGGAGATGCGATCAAGAGTGGCAGCAAGGGCGGTGGGGTGAGAAGAGGGCCAGTGGCGGCCTGCCATCGAGGCGCCGCCACGTGAGTCGGTGCCAGCCACGCAACCCAAGTAAGTGTTCATTGTAACAGGCGGGCCTAAGAACAGCTGCCGTAGTAATGACCTGCGCTCCGATAGAAGGTGTGGACGTGCGTGTTTGGGTGTGCGTGAACGAATGCCCATGTGGAGAGAAGCGTGCGATTGGCCAACACTTCTCGCAGCGGACAGCTGTCCGCCTACTGATTGGCTGGTCGAAATTATGCCCACCTTTTGTAAGCATCAAAGGTGGGCAAGGGCATGGGCTCACCGCACTTAATAAATTCACAAAAACAGTCTTTTTGCGAGCTGTCTAGCTTAGGAAATGTGCTTACTACATTGAAAAAGTGGGGCCGAGCAGATATCGTTCCAATCAATGCTTTAGCAAACCTCCTTTCCAAGGTTTAGAAGTATGGCGAGCTCAAATTACATAATACCATCCGATTGAGCGAATAAATGCAAGTGTTATTTCCACAACGATAATTCTGTTCATAAAGACTCCCATTTGCGAGGTGTCGTCTTGAAACAAAAGCGATAACTCACTCCTCCGAACGGGTGCGACACACTTAACCCTTAATGAGTAGATGCAAATGCGAAAAATGATGAATCCTGAAACAATGCACCATTATTGTAAATCACTTCCGCTTATTTTTTTTGAAGAGGGCTTAAAACGTATTGACAACTTAGTATGTGAGGCGACTAGGACAAGGAGAGGAGTTAGATCTGACAGAGGAACACGTGATACGATAAGCTTTCTATGCGAACAGACGTTACTGTTTGCTGTCACTTATAGCGACTAAAGCAGTCGTTTACGAACTCTCCTCACGTTAAGGATGTTCAACCGCCTTCTACGTTACTTCTCTGTAACAATGCTTGCAATAAGGGATAGACTGCAGGAACCCTGCCGAAACTTAAAGGTTGACAACAAAGAAGGAAGAAATGCTGTTAGCTGAAGGAGATTTACTTGTGAGATAGCTACGTGTCGCCCTCCCGACGGCATTAACCAGATATGAGAGAAGTTCTGTTGAAAAAAGTAAATCACTCCAATTTTCACAGCAAAAAGGAAGCTTTACCGGTATTTGGAAATAGTAGAAAATAAATGCTAGCTCAGAAAGAAGTGTGCATAAAAGTTTTACCGTATCTCCTAACTGCTGGGTCAATGCGTAGTAAAAGAACAGACTTTGTCGATTGAGGGAAGGAATCAGCAGCCATCAGTCAAGTAGAATCAAAGACATTAAAATTCCGAGGTTCCTCAGCCACCGAGAGGTACGCATTTGGGTTGAGTCAGAATGAAAGATGTTATTGAGTGATTTCAACCCTCAAAAGTGCTTTTAAGATGCGATTTCGCTAAGTTCAAACTAATCATGGAAAGCTTACGGTGGTCGAAAAATGAGACATATGGAATTAAAATGGAAAACAAACTCTTAGCCTTCCGTTAAGACACACTCTAAGCAAAGCTGCTTGAATTGTGGAATTACTCTAGAAGCAGGCCACCTACCTCAGCTTGATATCATGTCTTCACTCGTTTCCAGAGGAGCTTCGAGGCATCATTTTTGTGACTGCAGCGGCAGATACCTACCTTAAATCCCTCACCTAATCGGCAACTCGTAACAGAAAAGATGCGCGCAGTGTAAATGAGGGGATGTGCTTTTAGGGGCTATCGTTGTCCCACGTCCCAAAGTGTAGACGTCAATGCCCTAACCTACGATCTCGAATCACGTAAAGCTACGCTAGGTGTAATGCCGCCATCTCCTTACCAGCTGTGTAGAATACGAATGGATACGTCTAAGTGGTAGTAAAGTGCGGTAGACAAGTGATGAACGCTTGCGATGCCTTCCACACTCTTCTCCAAATGCAATTTGCAAACAGAGTGATACTCCATATTCAGCGGCATCATGATCCACCATCCTCCCACTTGCATGTAAATCTGATGGGTGGAGGTCGAAGACCCGAAGCACCGAGGGCAATTCTCGAAAGAGGATATGCCTTCCCTTAACTACTTCCTCTAAAATTGCACATCACTGTCAGAATATTAAATCTGCCTTCACCATTGAAAAACCCTTGGTGCGCATCACTTACTTCTGGTCATCATGGTGGATCGTTCAGCCGTAGCAATGAAGAGTTTTTATGCTGCACCTTTTTGGTCCCCAGAAGAACGGTTTGACAAATGAAAGTGTTTAAGGACACGATAAATTCAAAATCTTGACCTGTCTCAAACGCTCCCCATGAGAGTTTTGCCAAAGTCCAAATCTCAATTTCAAAAGGACGCCCTTTAAAGGTTGTAAAGAAATTATCTCAAGTTTTAGCCTCAGAATGGAATTCAACGCCAAGGGACCGGATCCAAACATTACATTTCATTGAAAAGCTATAAATTTGTCGGAGTTAGTCATGATTGCGTCGATATGAATCCACTATTTGTTTCAGGTTTAGTATTTTCATTTGCTGCTTCTGGATCCATTACCACCCCAAAAAGTAGTCGGGATGCATTAATAAAAAAGTTCCAATGTCACCATAAACTTGACGCTTTGCACTCCAATTCCTACCAGCATTTCATTTGTCCCCTCAGGGGCAATATATCATTCCGTCTCAGACACCAATG